TTCATGATGAATGCCAATCTGAAACTATCTAAAAATTAGTTAATGTAATAGCTTGCAGTCTGTTGTCATTGAATGGACTGAACTGATGGGGCACTATTGATATATGAACTCTCATGCTGATGGAGAGTCACTATAGCAATTCAGTAAGCTAGTGAAGAACAATGTTGTGTTTGAAGCAATAGGTTCTGGCTTCCAGTGTCATTTGGAGCAACACCACTCCTTGGGGAGTAGGTTGACGAGTCACGAATTCCATTGCTAGTCACTATCCATCATTAATGTTCGATAAAACTTAAATTTGCAAAACATTTGTAGGTGTGAACTTATCAGCCTTTCTATAATAGCAGAACTCCTTAACAGTAAGTGAACATTAAATTCAGCAATGGGGATTTCTTACAGTGGGTTTCCTTCATTGAGTTTAGACAAAGGAAAAGAGAGGTGGGGGGGGGGGGAAGGAAGGAGGGGGATAGCAAAGTTGAAAGAACTTGATGATTTCATTACATTTCGTCATATGACATTAAACTTCATACATCTCAATTTAGTTTAGTCCTTGAGAATGAATTTAAAAATTAACATGTTTATCTCAGTGTGTTTACAAAATGAGACGTTTTCCCATATCCTTCCGCCTTATAAGCCACAGGTTAAGCAGAATATTCTGCTGGTTTGCGCAGTGAAATGTTAAGACAAACCTTGCTTATTTTTATTTCTAAAGACGCCGAGATAATATTATTACTTACTTTTCAATAGAAATGATTTAAGCTACTTACAAATTACAAAGTAGTATGAGTTTTTTGAAAAAATATGTGTTGACTATATACATTATATTAGCTTAACAGTCGATTAAGAATGTCTTTCTCAATGTAAACCTACAGTTAGGCCAGTTCCATTTTAGTCATAATTTTCTGAAAGTATTTTCGATTTCATGGGATAGTTTCATAGTCTCCCTTCTTTTATATTGTCAGGAAAGACTTAGATGTGAATTCGACATTTTTACACACATATTTCGTGTTAGACAAGAGTGCTAATGGTTGATGTATTTTTCCAGCTACTATAATAAACCCAGGATTGTATACGTATTTATCAGGCATATTTTATTATGGTGCTGCCTTAATTTTTCGTGATTAATGAAATATTACTATTTAGCTGATATTTCAAGCTTTGTGAAACTTGCTTTTCGAGCAATCACTTACAAATAGTGCGTTAACTGTGTATCACCTTAACCAGTTCGCAGCAACCATTTATATAAGTTTTAAAACCATTTCAAAATAAATAGTTACAACCACTAAAGTATGTTGCTATACAGGTCAGTTTAGAAAAAGTGAGGTCGAAAACTTCAGCTATACACTTGCCCCATAATCTATAGACTGACGATAGGTAAAGGAGGTAGTTATATGAAGATTCTTGCGTAAAATCCATGAAATACGTTATGCACATAGGTTTGACTTATGTTAAAAGTTGGATGCAGTAATAATGCCGAGATGCATCAATCAACGAATGATCGAAGTCGTTTTATTTGTCTTGTAAACATGTTTTGAGCATACGGAAGGAAACGATAATAAAAAGATAAAAGAATGGTTAACATTAAAAGTAAGTATATATACATAAACCCTTTTTTTTTACCAAGTACTAGGTCATATCTATTTTATACAGATTAGGTGTTGCTATAAACCCTGTGCACCGAAATAAGTTGTGAGAGTTTAGAGCCATCGATCAGTAGTTGATTGTGTCCAAATCAATCAACGCCACAACACAAAATCCTATCAGGTTTTTATAAGTGGGAACTACACATCTACCCTTGTCAGTTATAATATTTAAGTATATGGTTTTAAAGTAATGAAATTCAATTTGAAACAGACTGGTTACATTTTGTCTGGTTTAGAAAGGGTATTATAAAGAAAGCAACGTCGTGTATTAACTCAAAATTAACTACAACACTTATCAACGGATGATTAAGATGAACAGTTCAATTAAGTTCGAATGGTGAATGGTCTTTAGAAGATGATAGTGATTTGTTATAAGTTGATCAGTAAATGAAAAAGAGTTTTATGTGTTAGTATAGCAAACAAAGACGCATTTTGAAATTTACACCTAGTAGAGCTGAAATATCTCCAAACATTTGAAGTTTTACTTTACAAATGAGCCACTTCAGGACAGAAATATCAGGTGCTCGGTTGCCCTTTTTTTCCGACCAAAAAGGCAGGACGTGGTATTCAAGTGATTAATCTACAGAATAAATTACAACAGAAAACTAAGAATTCATATCTGCATATTGTAGAGCTAAACTTGCTAAGGAGGGAGTTACTGAGCATTGGTTCGCTGTTTTTTCTTACGAAAGTTGCTAGAACATATTGTTTAAGTCTTTTAGGGATATTTACTTTCCTAATATGTGGATTCGCACGAAGTAAAAGACACAGAAGATTGGTCAGTTTTGCTATGGAGCCAGTAAGGTATCTATCAGGGAGGGAACCAGGTCACACTTTTTAAAAGTTGTGTGTACAGTTTTGGTAAAACAACACGAAGGAGATATAACTTAAGTAAACTACAAGGGTACAGATGATATATTAGGCTGATTTTTCTTCTAGTTATTCCTCACTGGGCTGGATGTTGTTCGACCGATTGAGGCTTTTGCCAGCCAGATAGTGTCACAAATTTTATAACAGGCGTAGCTTATTGCTCAACATGCAAACCTGCACTTGTTCATTCGCATTAAATACTTTCTTCGATTGTAATATACAGTGGTTGGCTGAATATGTAGTGCCATTAGAGCATTTTAATTCTACTGAGTTTAGATACTATAAGAGAAAACATTTCAGCTAGTTTGCAACATATTTACACGTCACAATGTATATACAGTTTCAGAATATACACAATGTATCAGAAACACCTGCTAACAACCTTTCTTTGGACATGCATATAATCTTTGTATGTTTGGGACTGTTATTTTTATAGAGTAGTTTGTACGATCACATCTAAGTATGATATTTTCTAGGGACTTCATCGTGAAGTGCTTTTGACATCGAATTTTCAGCAACAAGAACTAGTAAGAGAAGGCTTTTATTTCATTAACCACTTTTCAAATTATAACTTTTGACAGATTGACAGAAGCAATGTTCAAAACTTGCATTATGCTAGAAACTGTTCAGTCTATCTCCCAGTATCAAGTGTTCAGAAACCCTTTTGCTAAAATCAAATATGAGAGATTCTTCGACTAACATGCTAGGGTAAGAACTGAAAATTTGCAGTGTTAGTATATGCGATGACCTATGGTTTGTCGGTGGAGGACAACTGAACTGAATTTTCAACATGCGAAGCATTAGATAACTTTGAATAAGTGATGCTTTTCTTTACTGGTTATCCATCATTAAAAATAGCATAGGGTCTCTTAGAATTTATGGATTGTAACTTTTGCTTTTAAGATGCTTAGTGGTTAACTAAACCAGATGAAAATTTGAAATTACTATTAAAGTCTTCTATAGAACTATGGAACTTCGCCATCCTTGAGTGACCATTAAATGATCTTAAATACACCATCGAGGAAATGGTAATTTTTTACCTCCAATATAGGAATGAAGAAAATTTTACAGCAGATATTACTTTTTTAGCTATTTCTAGGAACTTATCTATATTTTCAACTGTTCTTTATGCCTAGAGTAAAAATACATACCATAAAGATATGTGACTACACAACATTAAACCACCTGGGATCTGAAGTGAACGTAAATAAAACTTAAAGTGATCAATTATGGTCTGTAAGTTATTCGTATGAACTTCCGTAGGAAGATTTAAGGATTCGAGTTTGAGAATTTTAAAAGACACTAGGTTCATAACGTCGATTATTAGGTAAAGACCTTCTTCGGCGAAGTCAAAGAATAACGATCAAAGAGAAACTGCTTGCTGTTTTATAACAAAATGGGTACTGCAAACTTACTTGGAAATAAATAGTAGTACTAGTATGAATTTCTTGTACATAATTTTATCCTCTTAGGGAAATATGGGCACATGAAGAACCCTTCGGAATAAGGAAGTGGTGGAAGACGAATCAGTGGAAGTTTTCCGCATGAAAACTTTAGATATGCCTATATGCAACTAGCTGCATCCTTTCAAAAGCTCAAAGCTTCCCAGAAAGCCAACACAGTCGCCTTCAGCTTCACTGGTTCCTTCAACGTCGTTTGATAATCGACCAAGGGCAGCAGACCTAACAGTTTCACTGAAACAGCTAGTACTAGGATCACCATACACTAATTGCCTACTATCTTTTTAACTGAAGATTGAATGATGTGTTTAACATGAAGCAGGTTAAAACCCTATCTCACTTTTCATCTGCTGGTTTTATATGAACGCTTCGTATTGGCAAAAGCCTGGATTTATTTTTAAAATCTGGATTTCACTTACATTTGTCTTTTTGTGGATGTTTCGGCACATCGTAAGGACTGATTTTGCCACAAATTACAGGTAGCTGTTCTCATGTAACTGTTTGTAGCATTCAGTATGTTATCTGTAATACATTAAGATTGAATATAGTCACAACTGACTTCAAGAGGTAGTTATCCTACTAATAATCTGAATATTATCTCTCTGTCGTAGGTCTACTGGACCATTCTAATCCAGTTCGATCACTTATGAGGTTCTTTCGAATTTCGACACACATTTATTGTACCATAGTATAAAACTATAGTTTTGAGTTTTAGTGATAATATGTGATATAGTATCATCCTTATTGGGTTGCTAATGGTTTTCATTGTGCCACTAGGTGCTAAGGTGATGACTTGATGTATGGCATAACCTACAACTTACGAGCGAGTCACGGAACCAAGGTTACCGTGAAATGAAAAATGTTAACTTTCACATTCAAGGGCACCAAAAAGAAACAAAGAAATGAATCAATAAATATTTGGATTTCATTTTATTGTAACAGTTTTAAACATTTACTTCACTATTTTGCTCAATAGTGGGGTTTCAAAGGTTTGGCGGCTGATCTGATTTTGTACTGAAAGGCGCTACTGATGGGACGGGCCAAAAGAGGTGGCCCGGGTGGGCGGAGCTATCCTTGGTTAAATCTCTGCAAAAGCAATTCTGAATTGAGAAAGTTACTGCCAGCTTATTTTTCGAAAATCGCACACAATCATACAATTGTGTGCACTAGAAGTAGTGGAATGAATACCACTGTGATATCGAATGCTGTATGTAGCTCTTCCGAAACCCAACAGGTATGTCTTCTGAACAGTTTTTGCTCTTATTATCTCATAGGACGCTTTAAGAGAGATAAGTAACAACTTAGCTGCTGGAAAAGTAAGAAAGAGTGATGCTACTTCACAGAGTTCGCTTTATCATATCGATGAAGATGCTACTACAAAGCTGCACCAACTGATAAACTTTTCACTGATCTCTAAGTCATTGAATTTAAGTCCTATACAATGGAAGTCCGTACCACAGCTTTATGGGATCAAGCATAAGCATAACTCCGCAATTTGTGGTGTTATCATTAAGAAGAAGAAGAAGGGCAGGAAGTCGTCGAAAGCCCTATCATCTGAACGTACACCATTGTAAGTCTAGATCATGAGTTTACAGTGTTATATGATTTTGTTCATAAACTTATTGGTTCTGCGTTAACTTAGGATTTAATATTGCATTTATGTTTTAAATGGGTTAATAAACTCAGAATTTCTAGGCATCGTATGACTTCCTCAAAAATTCACACTAAGGGAGTTAACGGTTCATGATGTTCCTGAGAAATATGTTCTATAAATTAACCACAGCTTAAGAAACATCTTTGGATGTTAAAGCTCATTTAATTATGCGCAGTCGATGTTGACTAAAACATCTTGGGGTTATCGTCAGTATTTGCATTTCATTTCAAACCAGCTAAACATCCACCTTTCAGGGCCTCTTCGTTGGCATACGACTAGTGCAGCTCAACAACCCTGCACACTTGTAGCAGGCAACAAGCCACAAACTGCGAAAGTTTATGGTTGTACCAGTCGTCCTGGCTTAGGTGGGGAAAGCATAGGTGTGCCTCTTTTGTGTACGAGGTCATTTTCCAATCATTGAGTTACTAACTAGAAACTCACCCGCTTCTCTTTGGACAACTGAGTACTAATGTAAGCGTGGTGTTTTGAGAATATGGTTAGAAAAACCAAAACATTCTCGACAGTTATGGTCGGTTACTGCCAACTGTGGTTGCTTACACTGTGAGAACCTGTTAGCTTAAGGCATCACAAGTGTAATCCATAGCTTACGCACAAATGTTTTACGCTCACAGAAATCACTAACCATCTATAACCATATGCTGCTCACTGTCGAGTCTCGTTTCACAGTGCAGTCACACTGCATATTGTTACACGCGGAAAAGTAAATATCTTGTCAAAGCAGTTGGCATAAGAGGGGCAAGTGCTAGCCTAAATTCCAGAATGCTCAAAACTACAGACTAATTTCATCAGGAAAGGGATTAAAGTTACCAACATACTCAGTATGAGAGCTTCCTAGAAGTTAACACGACTGAGGGTGTTCGGAAATACTTTCTCGAGTAAGCTTTGCCTGTATCCTTCATTGTTGTGTACTGTTTCGGGACCTAAAATGGCTTAATTTTAGCTTTATACCAAGGAACAACTGAAGAAAGATATGGCATTTTACTTGTTTTCGCTAATTTAGGATCATCAATATCAACGAAGGGTCAAGGACTACTGCGTAAAGGTCCAAGTTGCCACACCTCATATCCATACATCAACTAACAAAACAATAAGATGAAAGACAAAGGGATAAAGAACAATCTGTCAGAAATAGTAGAAAGCAGTAAAAGAGAGGAAGAAGGAAGGATAAAATACCGAATGCAGTATAACGACTAACATTACTTATGGATACACCTGCGTCACTGAAATTGATTCTGAGTCATATCACCTGAAATCTGCAACCACTGCCTTCTGTTGTCACATGGACCCTAACCAGCTAGTCTGCACTTTCCTACATGGTTCAGACAGACAGTGGAAAATTTCATGCAGCGATACCATGTTTTAATCTGGTCGCCTTGAGCCATTTTCTAGCCTGAATCTACTTCAGCTGACATTGCGCGATGAAGCAAACGGTGATTGGGGATGCATAACACATGTCAAAGCCATCTAAGTCGATAAAGATTCATAACTGCACCAACCAGCTTTCCTTTTCCTACCTAGAACTTTGCACCTGACTTCTACGCTACTTACATGGTGACACCAGGACACTCGACCTGGGCTACGAAGACAACGATGATGGAACACCTAAAGCCTTCTGATGTCTGCGTTTAATGTCTGTTTCACAGCCATACTGTAGAACAGAGTGAACTGTAGGATAGTGCACTCGACCGTTAATAGGCAGTTGGATATCACGGCAGCGCCAAAGATGGCGTGAGCTGGTGACAGCCAACGAGCATTTTGTATTCTTGTAGAAATTTCATCGACTACTGAGTCACCAGGACTGATCTGACTTCCAGGTAAGTGAGTTGTTCAACACAACCCTTTGACTGCCTATTGTTAACCGGGGCACCACTGAAGACCGGTCCTGGGGCAACAAACTGCATTTGGGTGACGAGAAAGGTATCCCAAACATTCTCAAATTACCATTCAGTGTGTCCCGAAGACTGTATCTTGTCAGGGTCTTCACCTAACAGGATTATGTGGTCTGCATATTCTAAATTTACCTGTGATTCTGTTGTGGTCAGACGACGAGAGAGAGACCTGCATAACAACGTTTATGATAAAATTGAGTAGGAATGGGGCGAGCTGACGTCCTTGACGGATATGACTCGATATACATGGTTCACCTGACAACTCAGCATAAACTTTAACACACCCACGGGTGTTTGAGCAGTAAAGAGCCTTAGGTAGAGTGACGTACTTACTCGGTATCCTTTTCAGTGAAAGATATTCCCATAAGACCTCTCGATCGATGGAGTTGAGTGTCGCATTTGGGTCGAGAAATACAGCGAGTGTTGGACGTCGGTGAGTGTGTGTATTCCAGAACCTGGTGGGGTGCGAATGTCCAGTCAATACAACGACGACCAGGTTTGAAGCCTATCTGTTTTCCTCGTGTTTGCCGTTACTAAGCTTCACTCAGATATCTGCTGACTATAAAACGTAGAATCTTAGACGCTATGTTTTTCAGGCTGATTCCCAGGTGGTTATCAGGGAGGATTTCTCACCTTTCTTGATGACTGGGACAATCAGTGACTGATTCTGATGAGAGAGGATACTATTTGGCTCTCACACACCAGTTAGCAGTTCAGTTAACTTGACTAAAAATCTTGTACCATCATACCACCATACCTCTGCAACTAGTCCATCTGGTCATGCTGCACTTCGTGGTTTTAGGTTGACTACTGTTTTTGTCGACTTCTGCAAGTTTTGGGGGTTCTATTTTGAGGTTTCATTCAGGCTGTGATTGGATAGCGGGTGACGAGATAGTAGCTAGAGGCCAGTTGAACTATTTCTGGAAGTGTTCCAAAATCGTTCCAGTCGCCTCCCCTCTGAGTGGACCACAAACCCATCCTTGTCTGCTATGGTCTCACCAACCATTGACTTTTTCGCCCCAGTTTCCCCAATGTGTCTGGTGTTACCTATTTCTGATGCTTTTTCTATTTGTTTAGCCTTGATTGCCCATCACTGTTCGTCTTCATTGTGTAGAATTTTTGTCAGTCTACATTTGAGTTGTATTCGCTCCTCGTTGTACACGGAGCCTGCAGGGTTGCCAGTCATTTATATCATAACTTACGGATGAATTTATAAGTAGACTTACAATGTCAAACGGTCATTCTTCAGAATTACTCGAATGTTTTCCTAATCTAAGGTGGTGTTAGATTCCGTTTCTTAACTTCCATTCCAGGTTGAATGCTTGCCTATTGGCTGTAGAGTTGACGAAAACATGGTGTAGTCTGTCCATTTTCTTAAACATTTGCTTTAAATGAATATGCAACAAGTTCCTGTGGTAGTGAAATTTGTTTTTTCTATCGTTAATGGATACTCATCGTGATTGGTTTTTATCTAGGAAAATGCTATTGATTTAAGCCTATAAACTTAGTTCCACATACTTTTTGTTTCTGAAACTGTTTTCAGGCATAAATGTAAAGAGAAAAAGAAATCGGAGGAAACTGCACGGTTATCTCAGTTGGCTGAAGCTCACACTGATTTTCGGGAGCAATCTGATACCATTCAAAATGTCGGTAAGTTAATACTACTAGTTTGAGAATGATTCTTATTCTTACTTGTAAGTCTGCTCTTCAGACTTAAGTTTATCATTTTTGCATTTGAACGTCTCATTTAATGTACTTCTATTAAGTTTGTATGCATTTAAATATGTACATGAAATATGGGAAGCTGAACCAGTGGTTTCACATTACTGTTCCATTTAGGTTACAGTTTGTTCAACTGTGGCTTAGTGGATTAGGAAATCAGCAGAACAGTGTCAGAATGTTGAATCCACCTTTATTTGCTAACCTTAGGGTAGGTAACATCAGACAGGGAATATAATCCTCAGTTTAGTACATAAACCCATACGTTATTATTGAAATACTTCTATTGTGTTCACAAATCACACTGAATTCTTGTCATAATTTTGGATCAAATGCCATAGGTTTTGTTCTGCAACTATCGTTTTCCTCTCATTTGCATTTTTTTCCATGTGATAATCTTAAATATTAAAATAAGTTGCGTTTTTTCCAGAGTTTCCGAGTATGTTGGGAATTGAAATCACTACTTATCTGTGCCAAACATATTACCTAACCTCACAACCTTTTATAGACGGTAAGGCTTTTAATGACTAAACGCAACCTTAAAACACTTCCTAAAGATTGTGCCTGACTGATTTAGAGTACGCAGGCAGCATAATCCTGTTAAGTGGAGGTATCGAAAAGGTGTAGTTTCTCGAATGCCTTGAACAAAAATATGAGTATATTTGGCTTGGGTTTCGTACCTGTTAAATTCAAGCTGATGCTTCAGGACTGATCTGCAGGTGTTTATGAGCAAGAAGTGAAGTGGTCGAATGCGTTAAGCGATGCAATGATGTGTGAGCGGGGTTGGAACGCATGACCCACTAGTTGATAGTCGTCTCCTTAAGCCACTGAGCCGCAGTTACCCAAATCTCAGTGGGTTAAGCTGGGTTCGTACCCGTGACACATTGGTTAGAAGTTGAGCGCCTGAAGCAATGAGCTGTTTCTTCAACACGTACTTGGAGATTTGCATCAGCCCGAATATGTTGGTTACTGAAAAAACCTCAGTTCAAATACGTAAGATCCATTCAGCATTTTCTGGTTCACATCGTTTATGAAACCAGTGAGATGTTCGACTAGCCAACAAAGGGAATGGACGCTGCGCAGAATTTTGTGCAGTCATGACAAATGGTTGTAAGACATGACCATTAGAATCAGACATAATAAGTCTGTGGTGTGGTGGAATCACAGCATGGAAAACGGTGAAGTTAAGGGTAGGCAAGGCATGCAGTTTAGTCAATGAAGTCAGTCATCAACTAAAGTGGCTTCAGTATATGTCATGCGTGCTGAGTCAGCGCCCTACCTCAACGTGTGATGTTAAGCGAATTAGGATTAGGTTGAAAAAAGGCCCAAGGTGGCTAGGCCCAAGATGTAGCACTAATACATAGTTTTTGTGACATTCTGTGCAGGGAAGAGGGAGTAAAGGTTACCCGGTTGGCGCCCTTGAAATAATAGTGAACAATAGTAGGGGACTCTTGATGATATGACTTAGTTGGGCACACTGACAGAGGTTTATGTTTTCTGCTTTCTCTGTAGTCTTGGATATTTTCGTTAGCCTTCATTAGTCTATATTGTCCCCTCCCATGCCTTTGTCTACTTTGATACCACTCTTGTTCTCTCCACATCTTTGTATGGTGGTATGAAGTGTAGCAACTATAACTGATGGACTTCTTTCCCAGGTCCTCTGTTGGTGCATATCTGTTGGATTCCACAAATGGCCGTACGTGATCAGTCTTAGTCGGTACTATGTATGCTGTGTAGTTGCTTAACACCGTTCCTATCGGATTCTTCACTCAGTCAAGTACCAACATTTCGCCTAGCATTACTATCTGATGTTAGAAGTTGCCACATCTCACATCACATTAAAATACAAGGCAATAAAACTAAAAACAGAAATAGAAACGGCATAATGAAAAGTTGTAGAGTGCTCTGGGACGAAAAAAGTGAGATTAGTGTAAAGAAGGATGTTTGATATAAAGGTAAGGGTGAATATTCGATGTGAATTTTTCCATGCCACTGCAGTTGATTCTGAGCTAAGGCTATGAAACTAAATCAAATAGTTGTGTGATTACCTTGCTGTGATTTTCAGAGAAACATTGCTCCAAAAACACCATCCAGTAGATCATACTGTTTCTAGTTCATGACATAATAAACCAGTTAAAATGGAACTAAAATCTATGACAATGTCGTAATTCTACACTTGTATGAAGTAAAAACAGTAAGCAAAATCAAAAGTCACAGATGAAAAAAGGGGTGAACATAAATAGGGAAATGTGGTCTAGTGGTAAGGGTGAAGATTCGGCGTGGATTTATCTACTCCACTGCAACTAATTCTGCGCCATATCACCTAGTCTCCAACGGTCGACTGTGGTTATTAAGTGAACATCAACCTGGAAGTCTACAGCTGATGAAGGCTTGGCACTTCATCAACTGACTTCTCTCATTCAGCTAAGACTGTAGACCTTATCTGTTTACTGTATATTTGATTTGTTCGTCTGATCTGGCGCTGAGTGATACAGTAGGTAGGCCGTCCAATGGCTGCCACCTTGACGTGGTGGTCGGGCTTGCATATCGCGACGAACTAACGAGCTATGCTGGTTTAACGCTTGTTCCCTCGAGGTTCTATCATACCAGAAAGATCTTTCGGATAGTGGTATGACGAAAACCAGTTACCGTTTCAGTGTAGTAATAGCAGTAGTAGTACACAAGACTCAATTAAATATAATCTGTCTTCCTCAACTCTGTCTCCTTTAATAGTCAGACACTGCCACAATACCTCACGGTCGAGAGTCAAGTGCCGCGTTCATGTCAAGAAATATGGCAAGTGTCTGCTACTGGCCGGTAAGTATGCCTGTGTTCCAGAACTTGTCGTAGGATTAAAATATCGATCCATCCTCTTCCAGATCTGATACCTGCCTGGTTTTCTTGAGTTTGCTGTTCTCGATCTCCAGTTAGGCTTCGGATGACCATGGATCTTAGGATCTTGGACACACAGTATTATTAGTCAGACTAATTCCCCCATGGTTGTCACATGAAAATTTTTCTCCCTTGTAGACTGAGATGATCAGTGAAATATACCAGTCTGACGACACAACCTCTGATTCCCATACACTACCTATTACCTTCACTTTAATTAGCAATTCGGCATCCTGCGGCCAGTAGGGCGCAGACATACACGAGCCCATACCAGCGCATGATTGGAATCCAAACAGGTACTTTAGAATGAGCGACAATCCTCCACCGATCCTCTCCAGCCATGCCTTATTGCAATGAAGTCTATCTGTGTCCATCGTTGGTATAAAGTCGGGAGACCCCATGTGAGGCAGTGTCTATCCTTATGCCTAAAGTTACTGCTAACTAGAAACAAGTGATTATTGAAGCAAAATTGCAACAGACGATCACCGTTGTGAGGTCGTCGGCATGGGATTACGTATCTACCTCCCAGATATCTCTCTGTTTGTCTCAGCTTCCCTACTTAAGCGTTGAAGTCACCTGCCATTACGACTATATCTGAACGTTTTGCTTTCTGTAGAAAAATTGACAGCTTTTCATAGAATTCATCCTTTGCATCGTCCGAGCTGCAGTCAGGGTGTGCGTAGGCAGAAATTACAAGTAGGCATCGCATGATCTCACGATCCTCCCTAGTCCTTACAGATCCATTCAGTCGAACAGCACATAGACCGATGTTTATTGCAAACCATTGAAAAAGTAAACCTTTTGTTCTGCAACTCAGTGCTATGCCTAGAGGGAGTCAATGAGAGCTAGGTATTTAGTCTCCGGATACTCTTAAGGTGATTTTTGAAGATTCACTACTATGGCCAGGTGAGGTTGACTTAGTAACCACACTTTGGCCCTGTATGTGTTTCAGAGACAGCATACATCCATGACACGGCATTCCAAAGTTTTATCGAGCGATGCTTACTGTTCGATTTGGCTTAGAGTTCGGGTCTTAGGAGACTAGGAATTAAGTTTCGATGGCTTTGACTGTTGACAGAGGTCGCAGAATGAGAGGCTGGGGAACATGTAAGAGGCTTAATATTAGTATCGGGATGTGAATGCGAAGGAGGAGACAGAATGAGGAAGACCGGTTATGTTTGATTGGGTCTTGTGTGCCACTGGAAGTGTGTGGACGGTTGACACTTCCAGGCTGCATATACTATGGAATTATATTTCTTCATAAGGTACCTGAAATAAAATGAGATTTGCGTAACCGCAGGGTCCATGGAACATCTGCTTGAGGTCTGTCATATACGGCATTTTGTGGGATGTTGTTTTAAGATTTGTTTGTTCTAGCACCGGCAGAGGATGTTATTTTTCGAACCGACCTTGTTAATCCACCTTTCCATTGAGAAGGCAGCATCGGCGTGATACTGCTGGTCATGTGAGGGAAGTAACCTACTGCTGTCATACCCCATCTAGATAGCAGCAGTACGATCTCACCCTCAGACCCCTATCATAGTTCAGTAATTTACACTACAACGGTAACTGCTTTTCGTCTTACCACTATTCAACAGACCTCGAGGGAACAGGCGTCCCACCAGTATAGCTCGTTGGGTCATTGTGATATGCAGGCTATATCAAGGTAGCGGCTATCGGTCGGGAACAGGCAGGGAAGTTGTTCGAATCACCTCACTGGAATCTTGAGTGTAGGGGGGGTCTGTGAGGTAAAACATATCCTTAGTGAGGCTTTCCAGAGTCTAAGCCAGACCTTTCTTTTGACCTGTCGCGATCAAAGCCCGAATGTTGAAGGTTGCCAGCTTAAGCGCTGCGCATAGTTTTCTTACAGTTGTGCCAGATGTCATACTGAACGACAAATTTCTGGAAGCAACTATCTGGTAGCTGAGAACAATGCAGAAAAAGCTCAGAATTTTGGTTAGTGCAAAGGAACTGAGTGGAACGAAGATACATGTAAAGACACATTTAAAAGAAGGCAGCTTAAAAGATATCGTTTAGGTGTAAAAATAAAGACTATGTAATGACAAAAAGAATCATTAAGCAGGCAGTTTGTGACACCATGAATTTAGATTTTTGAAAGAGGATTCAATGAGCACTTAGTGGTCTTCATTGCTTATGTTGATTCAGAAATTGAATGTGAGCTGTTATGCTGTTCGGATGCTCAGACCAAAGTAGGTGGTTGTCCTTACTGACCAGTTACTGAGCCTTTGACTTGAATTCTGGTCCATAAGTTAGCACAGTAGCGTAACGCACTACATTCCCATGGTTGTCGGTGCCAAAGATAAATTCATACTCCATTCTTCCATTCTGGATGTTGAAGTCCGTTTGCATCACTGGTTTGGAATCAGGGTTTTCCAACTCCTTTAGATGTACTCTTCGTGTACACCAATCCGGTTAGGATGCCGAACGTTCGCTTTCATCTTAACTATTTTTGAAACAGCCATCGCCACGTGAAAGCAATCAGTATATCTTCCCTGGCAGAGACCTTGAATGTAGACCATGTAAGAACATTTTGAGAGGATGACCGGGTACATCCCAATTTCGGCTATATCAGGGTGCTTTGGGGGGTATTTGAGCATGATGGTGATATCACTCAATACGCGAGTTTATTTTGAAGTATCTGCCTCAGTGTTCTGGATGCGTGCTGCCCACACTCTCATGCAGTTTTCTTTTTGTTAGCTCTGGGATGGACTAGTGAAGGGTAGAGCTGGTCAATCCCTAGATAATAGCGCTGGGGGATAAATACTAGTTGTGTCAACATCTGTTGGTGTATGGTGACTCTCTAGGTAGATCTCTAGAGCTCACTAAACTAACACTAACCAGTTGTTGCGATCAATTTCTAGCTTTTGCTTTCGTTATTCCTTAACAAAAACAAAAATTGTGAGAAGTTTTTTGATGTCCTTCGTAGTTATTCTCACTTTTATTATCATAGTTTAAATAGTGCCAATTCTCTCGTTTTCAATTACATGAAAGAGGTACTGAGCCAGCCATTCTTACGTATTTAGTGTTAGTTCGACAAAATATACTCGGTCATCAGTCTCTGTCCCCCTCCACCGAACAAAATTATTTTAAGGACTTACTCTGTCCTATCCTATTGGGCGATTATGTATATAAACGGATCTTGTTGAAGTGACAACGCTCATTCCTCACATTTTGAGTAATGCTTTAGGTAGTATGCGTGCTATTTTAGGTGCGATGTTGAAATATCATGTTTACTGTTATTAACGACTTTACAACATGATGTGGAGTTGTAGCATCCAGTAGCCATATGTTGTCACAACAGTTCTTCGGTTGCTATGTGATCATTTGTTGAATACTGAAACATTTGTGTTAGTTTTTTATTACTTATGAAGTGTCTTTTCTCTTTATAGAGTCGAAAACTGAAAGCCACAAGTTACCAACTTCAACAGATGGTAACTTGTCGGAAGATTCAACTGTCACTACTGCAGTTGGAAAGCGCCAACGTCGTCTTACAGCGAAAGCTGCTGAAGCAATCGCAGAAGCAACTCTCAGAAGGCACCGTAAAACCTTGACAAGTTCTTGCAGCAAAGGTAAAATTATGTCAGATGACGAACATGTTGTATCAGAGAATGAAAAAAAAACAGCTGATGCGTCTAAAACAGCCAATGAAGTCGAACCAGTTTCTGTGGCTGATCATGTTAGTCAACTTGATTCAGTCGTCAAAAGTCCATTCAGTCACACTACACCTTTGGTAGACAAAGAAAAAGTCGAGCCAGAAGTGAAAAGTTCGCTTTTGGACATAGCTGCAGATGAGACAAACACTGAGATTTTATCTACTGTAACTCCTGTAGTAGAAGAGCGTAATTTCATATCGAAAACCACAGGCCATAAAACACCACTTCTACCTGATACACCAAATTCAGCAAAAAATAACGAGTCTCTCAACCCTAACAAGGATGAGAGTTTTATTGAGACCACGGTTGTTGACGTCACTGCTAGAGATCAACCCGATTATCTAGTAACCAACACATGTGAAATCAAATCTTTATCTGATGACCCTGTTGAATCGAAAAATAATGATGAGTCGGTGAATTCTCTCCAAGATCTTGTAATTAGAGAATCTGTTCAAGTTTTTGATACGAGCACATCTAAGCAACAGGGCTTAATAGGCACAGTCGAAAACCTAAGCAACAACATTGAACCCTCCCCCAGGAGCTTTGTGCAACTGAAAAGTGAGGTTTCAGACGGAGTTTCAGATGAATTAGACCGCAAAACAACAATCGCTGAAGAAATACTAATTCAGACTGATATCCAGGCGGTCACGGAAGGAAATGAATCTGAAGCTTTGGATAAAGAAAACGATAGTGTTGAAACTGAGGAGGCTAGGAATATTGACCAACCTTCTGAGTTAGAATATAATGATCAAGAACAGCCTGAAGTAAATAATGAAACTGACAGAAATGTAGAATCTAACTCAGTGGATGATTCTGGGAGTACACCACCGATGAAGTTTGATGTTCACAATCCTCCTGTTATCAAAACAGTCAAGCCTAGAGCCCATAAGCGTAGTCCGTCTCCAGGCGATGCACCTATTATTCGAAGCAAACGTCGTCTTAAAGTTAATGTGAGTTGTTATTTTGATAAAATTTCATCATATTTAAAGTTTTCACAATTTGTTTGGTTGAATTTTTACCATGTAAAAGTGGTATTAGCATCATTGGTTGCAGTTTCCCGTGTATTCATTTGCAAATGTTATGCCGGAATCTAATGGATCTTGTTACAATAGTTTTTTTTTTGGGGGGGGGGGCACGTTTCTCCTCTTTTTGATATACTCTGTCTTGCATATGCATATTTAACTAGTTTGATTAACTATTTATGGAACTCGTAGTAAATGTTCAAGACTCATTGGTAGTTTTAGTTTAAGCGTTTCTCGATACTAGCGGTTTATTCTTATGTTTGTGTAGGGGCCGACATTGTTGTTAGTGCCATGTTTGATAGGTTCAATTTAACCTTAGACTTGAATAATTGAGAGTTTAATGCACAGGATACTGACCTACAGTTTTGGCGAGATAAACAGAAGTTGAAGTGCACTCAGTAGCCATGTACACTTTTGTACAGTAAACAGTGAGTAACAGTTATTGTGTGAGAGTTTTTTATGCTGACTGGTTGGTAAAACCTTGGTAAGTGGAGCGGGGTTCGAACTCAGGGCCCACTGGTTGACAGTCATGTACCTAGACTAATGAGCCCTAACTTTACATCAATCAAGTTTGGCAATCATGCACGAGACTGTTATATACACCTATTGAATGGATCTGACTGTGCTGCAGGGTCACGCAGATGGAAATGATTTGTGCGAAGTGCGTTTTCGTGACAGTTGTTTCCATAATAATGGAGTTAAGTCACAGCGTGTCTAGTATCAAACTTTCACTCAGCACCCAAGTTTTACCGCACTATTCGGTCAGATCTTGATTGTAGTTCATATAACTAAAGCTTTCAGTCTGTATTAAGTTAACTTTTAATCCAAGTGAAACCTTTCCGCTTGAAATACATTTACATTCTTTATAATTGCTTAATAATGATTAAATCTTTATTTTTCTCTCTTGAAATTCATCTGTGCAGCATCGTTTTCTGGATGATTTTGATGGTTACTTAGGTTTCATAAAAGGTGGACATCGAAGTAGAGCTTCTTCTGAAGTAAGTAATGGTTCTGAGGGCAGTAGTAATCGAACTACTGAACACTCTACACGACATTCCCACAGAACTTCAAAGTCTCGTCTGCTCTCATGGTATAATAAAAAGCATTCCAATGAAAAAATAAAGAAAACTAGTGTGTTGGAGAATCCAACTAAATCGTCCAAAGGAGACAAATCAAATGATAGTCATAATACTAATAGCAAACAAGAAGAGAAATGTGGAAACCGACCAGTTACAGGACTTAGACCTCGTGTCAAGCAAGTTAGTAGACCATCTCTTAATCGTGGTAAGTTTTCACTGGGAAACCATCTGTGATGTATTTTCTGTTGTTTAATTGTTTTCTGTTTATTTTAATGTGTTTATTGTTGGTTTAACTAACGTTTTGTTTTCTACTTTGGTCACTCTTGGGGGTCATTGTTCACTAGTTTGTGTTGACTTCTTTCATTCAAATTCAATTGAATTTTTGGCGCCTACCAGAGTGTGATAAAAAAGTTTTGCTTGAACTCTAACAATTCGTTTAGATCTAATCTTCCAGTAGGTTACTACAGATCTAACTCAATTGTTGCTTGTCGAAAGTTAATTTTGAAATTAGAACGAAAAATGAATGATTAAAATTCTAAAAAATGTTCCTAAACTTCAGGTGTCTATAATATGGTTGACCATCATTTTTGGTCATTTTAAAAAAAGTTATGTAAATTTAGTCCAGTTATTAATTTATTTACCTCATTTTCAGCTATAGTTTTGCGTTCCGTGTAGCACTTTAGTACTAGTCAAACAGATACCTAAAAAGAGATTTTTATTCTTTGTGAACTGAAAAAGTTTTTTTTTGGGTTTACACTTCAATAGTAGGATTAGAAACATACAACATACCTAAATTGTCTATTTATACTGGGTGATTATTGAGGGTGAAATGAAAACTTTGATAGCGGCCGGATTGGAACCAGCGACCACTGGGTTTCCGGCTCCGTACTCTACCAAGTGAGCTACGAGGCCCAACTGCTGACCAGATTTTCATTTCACTTCAACCACTATAGGTTTTGCCCGACTACCATGTGGATTTGTGACGCGTTACTACCACCAAGTTTTCATTTCATCACCCAGTATAAATACTAGTCTTCCAAACCACGCCTATCTCAGATAGTCAAAATAATGATTAATATGATGATCCCCGTCTCTAATTCACTCAGATTGGGATTGGGATGATAAGTCCTGATTAGGCAGTCAGTCTGAATACTATTAAGCAATAGTAATGCGTGATGAATTCACATGGTAGTCGGGCAAAACCCATAGTGATTGAAGTGAAATAAAAATCTGGTCAGCAGTCGGACCTCGTAGCTCACTTGGCAGAGTATGGAGCTGGAGACCCAGTGGTCACTAGTTCGAGTCCGGCCGCAGTCAAAGTCTTCATCTCACCTTCAATCACCACTGACCATAAATACTAATCTGCCATACTACGGCTCAGATAGTCAAATGATAAATGGTCCATTTTTAAGGTTATGGTCATGTTAGCCAATGCTATCTTGATCTAATTAGCCAGTAACCAGAATAAAAAAACCTGGTTAACCGAAAGATGATCAAATACAGTACGGTAAATATTTTACAACTAAAGTGGAGTTGAAACTTGATCAGCTAATGAATCTCATATCTCAGTTGGTAGATCATAAGTTGATAACTTAGGGACGACGTTTTTCAGTTCTGCTTTTTTAAGTGTTCTTCAAATTCAACTATCATTTCTATGTGTTGTGAATCAGTCTACCTGTTTAGTCTATTTAATTACCCTAAAAAAGATAGTTATGGAATGAGAAGGGATGTAAATAAACTACTATAATGTTTATTTTTGATTCTTAATTTTACACTGATTACACATCTTTGAATAGTGGTGATAGAGCCAAGGGACAATTTGCATTTGTTAGTTGGGGGCAAACGAGAGTAAACCCTAGACCTAGGTTTCATGCTTATTGGTACTTGTCAGCAGGACGCACCCGCAACCTTGAGGAGACTGATGTCCTCCCTGAGATTTGAACATATACCACCCAATGTTGGAGTCAGAGGTGTTATCATTGGGCTACTCAGGTCACGACTGTCCACATGTAGGACTAAGGTACATTGATTGGTTACCGAAGAATAACCGACTTCAGGTAGTTTATTCGTGGAGGTCTGGCTTAGTGGCATGAACATTGGATTTCTAACTGGTGGGTCACAGGTTCAAGCCTCACTGCGCCTTCCAGTGTTTCGGCAACCAAGTAGTATCATTAACCCACACACAACACGTGTGCTTTTTCACTTACCGTACGAATCTACACATGGTTGTTAAGGACAATTCGTTTTTTGCCGATCCGATTTGTTGTTTAGCCCTGAGTACTGACCGAATCCCAATTTCCTAGAGAAAATCACTTACCTCGAAATCGCAGATACGCTATGGTGACGAGTTCCATCAAAGCACGAAACCTAGGTCGAGAACATCCTACTAATTGTCTGCGACCAACTAGCATCTACCAAAGTGAAATGCAATAGGGCATATAGCCTAACTTGGTAGTCATTAAAAAGAATAATCGATATAATTTGATCAGTACTTATGAAAAGATAACCTAAAATTGGTTGTTCTCCAGTGAGCATTCAATACGCGAAATAGCATTTGTCCAGAATTTTTTGGTATTACTGAATTCTTTGCTCACGGTTGTCGTCTATCGGTAGGCTTTTAAAAAAAATCATATATGTTCTGTTCAGAAGAGTAGTTTCAGTCTAGTGTGTTATTAACTTAGCTCATTTTTATTTTATAACTATAGAAGATAGTCGTTATTCGTCAACTTTCTCCGCTATGGTGCACGCTGCTCGGTTAGCTGCAGTTGGTGCCAAAGTTCCTGGAGGTGTTAGCCCTGTGCATGCAGCTTTAGCCGCCTCTGCTGCTCATTCAAACAGGATGAAAGAGAGACGTTCTGATGCAAAGCATAATGATTTGAATGTAAATGGTCAAGGAGTAATACCACATAGTACGTTTCATCCTAGTAAACCAGTTTCTACTGCTCAAAATTCAACCCACTTACCAAAGCGATGTGGACAATGCCCAGCTTGTTTGGGTCTTATTCAGCCTTGTGGACACTGTAGTGACTGTCGGTAAGTAAGACGTTAGTTAATGCATTGTTTTGGGAAATGAACTGTGAAATTTATTTGGTTCATTTGGAAGGGTCGCTTGTCTTCATTCTGATACATTCCAAATTCACCTATGTCCTTCTGGTTTATCTTTTCCCATTAATTCTATTTTTCTCATCGTTTAGTGTTAAGAAGTGTGTCAACTTTAGTGAGTACGCTTTTGTCCATGATTCTGTAATAAGTCTAATTTTCAAGGGTTGGTAGACCCTACCTCTTTCGAAACCCAGTTCGTATAGGTTCATTGTGACTGAAAGTTCGGCAGTAAATAAGTACCAACAGGTATCAAGAAAGTGAAAGCGGCCTATGAGAATGCATATGGGTAGCACATACAGTAAGTTCGTTAGTGATAACGGTCAACTGGTGAGCAACCAAGCAAAAAGAATACACAATAATAGTTGGAAGTATAAAAGGTAAGAACAGTGCGGGAGAAGATACAGGACAAGAGTCTATTTGCAAATGGATTCTGTATATTGCGGGGTTTAGTGTCGTTACCATTATCAGCTGTATTTTCTCAATAAATAGTATTTGTTGTTCCATTGAAATTCTTCTCACTGGAACGAAGAGTATTTAGAAAGAAGGTAGGATCTTTCATAAATTTATAGTGGTTTTTCTAGCATTTTATTCCATCGTTCTTAGTTAAAAGTTTCCACATTCTAATGAAATATTTTACTTGAAAAGTGTACTATTTAAACGAAAGATGTTTTATAGTTAGTTACATTCCTGTCAAAGCGAGTATAGTCCAAAATAGCAATCGGTGGAGTTTTGAGTGAACTTTGCCGACACTTCCTTTCTTTTTTATACAGAATTTCATGCTACTTAAATGGGAGTACAGTAGTAGCAGCATATTTTAATCTGGTTTTGTCATTTTGTTGGTTTGATGTTTTTATTTTCAATTTGTTTTAACCTTGATCTGATCTTTATGACCAAACTGTTTACTTTACATTTTCAGCTTAGTAGATAATAATGATCCACGACGTAGACCTTGCAGGTTAGTTATTGGTTTGAGTTGATTATCTGTATTAAATTGTTCATTGTACTTTTGCATCTTCGTCAGTCAGCTTATGCTTGTGAATAAAGTGTTAGTTGTTATTCATAGGGAATCGTAGTTGGTTATCGCAGGATATAATTTGTAATTTTAACAGAAGGAATTCATTGGTGCATCAAGCGATACGACCGGAATTGTTAACTGCCAAGTTATACAAGATTACTGATATTACTTTCAGTGTTTGTGATGCTCAAGCATTGATGAAACCAAACTGGGTTTTACAATTTGACTGCGAGATTACAGTTGATAAAATATCAGTATCTGGTAAGGTACAGTAGTCAGTTTTCATATTTGTTTTTTGGTAAAGGGGAGCAGTGATTAGAATTATGTAAAATTCATTGCACAGTATGATGGATTATATTAAATTGCGTCTTGCATACGCTTTAGTTTGAATTATGAACAGCAAAGCAGGTATCATACTGGTATGCCACTCATTTCGTCTGTATATTCCTTCTACTAGCTGATTAATACCACGGAGCCTATTCTAAGGATAATTATTATTCATCGTGATTGTTCAATATCATACTTGGTGTTTGAATTTGTCATAGATATCCATTTGGATATTTTACTTCATACGACTAGCTTATCGAAAAGTAGTGGTGAATAATTTTGTCAATTATTCTTTTGTCCGAAAATGTTGTTATCGTGTCAGGACGAATATTTGCCACTTTGAATACTACGCACAGAAACCTCAAAATCTTGTATCTGTTTGCTTATATTCAGAGCGGAGTGTCCTCAAGAAGATGCAACAGTTAAATGTATCAAATGTTTCATCTTCATTATCAGCTGTATTACATTTAAGTGTTGTTGAAGTCCAAATAATAAGGTCATTCACCTACAAACGATGTCTTTTTGCGGTGTTTATAGACGTATTTAGTCAACAAACGATTTTTTCAATTCGGAGGTTTGTGGATTGGATTCCGATCCACTGGTTCACTGGTAACATGCTGACCGCGGAACCTGAAGGTTGCGGGTTCGATCCCTTGAGGAGTCGTGAGTACGCACTGCTGGGAAGTCCCGTACTAGGACAAAACAGAGCTGTCTAGTACTCCTAGGTTTCCAATGTCTCGTCAACTGGTGTCAGTCCATGATGAATAACAACCTTAAACGATTTTTTGTCGTAAAGGTGCAAAGATTCTCATAATTTCATATCACTTTCATGATATTTAAATAATAAAGGGAATTCTTTAATTTTCAGAAGTCATTAGTATTATTTTCAAGTGATCAGATCTTAAAGATCACAAATAAATATAAACTTGGAGTTTTCGACAATAAAGCTGCAACTCGATGTTCATCAACCAAAATGCGCCTAGTTTTCTCTACAGCTAGTTAAATATTAGTGTTCTCTCTAGGATAAATTTGTAGGTTATCAGTGATTTCTGTTGTTTTTGATAATTTTCCTAACGCTGTGGTGCACTGCTTTTATACGCTGTTTGTAATTCAATCGAAACTTCTGATAGGGAAGCGTGTCATTGGTCAAATCTTCATCGTTGAGAATTTTTCACATACGTACCTGGTGTCACGAGTAGTAGTAATGTTAGACGTAAGTGTATAACGTGGTATGGTGTCAAATCCAGATAGGTAAATTGTTTTCTAAAACTTCTTTCGCAAAGTAATATTTCAATAATGTAATCGAATTCTTTTTAAGATTTTTTCTGGCGTTTGTTAATGGTAAATGGTGCAATTCTCACTTCGACCTAAATAAAGTGTTTTCAGGTCAGACTACGCGTTAAACCTGATGTCCAGAGGCTAGAACACACCTAAGCTGTAAGCACTGACATGATCATCATTTAATGTCTGGTAACCACTGGAAAACCTCCTCGCTTCAAGCTTTTGGTTTATGTACTCCAGTTATTCTCATTTTTCTTTATTTGTAAACTTCCCTAACAGATGTTTTTTAAAATTCCCTTAGAGAACTCATATGCTTTAGGCGTCGTGCTGCTGTTGCCGCTGCAGATCAGAATCTGAAGACAGGCCCAAGAGTAAGTGGATCACAGATTTCTTTTGATAGCTACATATTTTATTGAACTATGAAACCTAGGAATACCACCAGATTTCCTAAGCCGAAGCAGATGGAGTATGGTTTGAACCCGGGTCTGATTGCTTGAGATTCGAGTTCCTAAACCTGGGAACCATATCTCCGCAACTAACTGTTTGGTAGATTATTGTTAGTTTAGTATATTTGCACATGCATAGGCAGTTGGGAAGGTTAAGAAGCAAATTTCATTGACCACTGTATGATCAGAGTGCTGAAGATTGAGAGATTTTAATTTAGCCTAATTGTGTGTGAACAGTTGCAGTCAGTGTACATTTCCAGCCTGATGATGCATCATATACCATTGTGTTTTTGTATGCTTCGCTTCTCAATATCCCTGTCATTTCCGCAAGAAGTTGTCGTTGCCTCCATACTGTAGAGTCGTTGGGTAATGTAAAGCATATATAGTTCCCGTTTCGACATTTGGTCACTATTTCTATCATTAATTGCTAGCAGTACATTAACATACAGCTAAACTTTACAGGTACTACACGAAAGGCTCTTACATTGTGCAGTGATCGGTAGTACTGGTTGGCGGAAAAGTGTGAGGATTTTTTCAAATGCGACTCTGAATAGAGGATTATTTGTCAGGTTGATATTTGTAAATATATATAATAATTTATGTTGCTTTGATCTTAGAGATTAATTGGTTTGGATGTTATTTAGAATCTTTATTCATCAACAGTCATACTATGATTTTATTGTATCAACCACATAAACACTAAGACGAGCTGAAAAATGGTAGTGAAGTCCTCCTGGTGTGTTTCTTTATTTTTACATCATTACCACTATGTCTTATCCTCCGCTTCTTTGTATATTCACATTTCATTATTTTTTTATCGGCTCATTTCGTGTTTTCTACTGATTAGGTTAAATTTCCATCAAACTACCCATCACCTGGTTCTAGCTCTAGTTTACCTATATGCGGATATAAAGGAGCCCTGTCGAATAATATGGTCAGCCATGCGAGTAATCGAAGTGCATTACATAGATCTGACAATGAACCTGATGAATCGGTTAGTTTTCTGCGAACTGTTCCAGGATTGGCACAAAAACTGGAGTTAGATGCGTGGTTACCTCCTGTGAATTCTCAAAAAATGCATACTAGTGGAGTTAATCCATCATATCACCGTAAGCAAAAGCATGCTGGGAAGAATCTAAATGTTGGCCCCGAACTTCAAGTAACTCCTGTTCGTGGTGGAGATTTGGGTATGCATTTCATTTCTAGTATTGAAGAAAATGATGACAACGAAGATCTCGATCGTGTACGACCAGTTGAAGGGGTAAGTATTTTGCTTGAAGAAGTGATTGTTTTTCAGTGTATATTCATTTAACCTCATCTTTCTCAGTAAATCGTTTGGGAAAACCGAACTCTCGGTAACCAAAGAAAAACCTTAACCCACTTGTCTGTGTAGCCAACTTAATGTCACACCTATTTCACGATAACGAGCAATTTTTTCACTGGTAAGCAGATTAAAGTATTCGTATCAGTGATCCAATAGTTGTGAGTTGCGTACATAGATAAACTGACGAGATCTAACCTTTGCTTCACGAGATAACTTAGTCCTAAGTTTTAGAGCAGTCACAAATTATCTTCAAAACGAATGTGGTTGCAGTTAATTCTTTAAAAGCACCTGAAACAATATGATTATTTTATAATTTATTGGTGATACATTCAATTTAGTTTGCTTCAGACTACAAGCCAGAATAGAAGCTGCCATGTAACCGTGAAGGTGTATTGTTTTTTTAATGACGTGAAAGTGAACTTCACAATTCTTTGTCCAAATAATTCCTTCCTCTTTCATGCTAAGATTTCCTGTCTTTCCTACTTGCTGCATGAGAGATTTTCTGTCATTATTGCTCATGCCCAACAAAATATCTAAGGACTTCTCGATCTTTGAAAATATGACATAAACATCTTGTACGTGTACACTTAAGTTGAACTGTGAATTTTGATTTTCAATCATTTATGTTATCATTTACGTGTTTGTCACTTAGTTCTTCTTTACTTATGTTTAGGAAGTTATTGACAGTGAATTAGCAACGCGTGGAGGCTACGCAGTTGTAACTACTCTAGCTGCTGCTCCGCCTAAAGAAATCTGTTATGCGTGTGGTAGCGGCGGAGGTCAGGTAATTTGGTGAATTTTAAGTGTGTTTTCCGTACTCTGGTTTTATCTTTTATTCTTGAAGGTTAGGTACTTGTATGTTCCGTATTCAACTATGTTAATCTAAATTTAACAGTTATACCGAGTATCTGTAGTGTTTTATCATGCTAGAAGTTCTCTATATTCCTAGACCCATTTTTATTTCTAAAAGGTATGCACTGAAATTGATAAATAAAAATACTTTCAACATAGGTTTTTAAACCTCAACCGTTGTCCGAATCTGTACACTAGTATCTTTGTTTTAAATCTATCCACCTTAAAGATGCAAAGAACACAAACTTGGGATTCACAAAGTTGGTTGAATTCTGTGCTTTTGTAGTAAGTGTATAAGAACTCAATTCAGTTGATTTCACCGCATCAATCTCTTGAATTATTTCAACTGAGTCACTCTGTTGTAGCGATTTCATTTCTAGGTCTTATAAGTTCAGATGTTCATATTAAATTAAAAATATTAGAAAAGTTCACTCATTTTCTAAATTTATCATGCTTTAAAATTGTATAAATACTGTTCTTTCAAACTACTCCATCGAGTTACAGACGAACTAGGATGTGTATTGATATCTGTCAGATGTGTGTGTTGATTCACTCATTGATTACATTTCAAACGATTGCATGGATGAGTTTTATCACCGACTGGAGCGTTGATTCATTTGTCTACGCAATTGACTTTCAACTGATGGGTCACGATATGGAATCCTGTCCCACCTACTTAGGTGTCGACAGCCAAGTTGTATCATTAATCTTCACACAATAGGGACGTAGCTTGTTACCTACTGCACGAACATGGTTGTGGTTGTTGAGTGTATTCTGAATTTTTCCAGTTCGAATCACTAGCTACCAATTATTTTTTGATATAACAAAGAAGTATAGTCTTTATTTATGGTTTTCATTCACACCAGTGCTCATGTTGCAATATGTGACATCTTACATATATTATGACTATCAGTTAGAGTTTATAATTATTCCTGTTTCCGACAGCCGTCAAATGAAAGGTTTTTTGAAAAAAGCGTTTTAGTTATTCAAGCAAGTACTCAAAGGTGTCAGGCGATAAGTTAATATGAAGTTTATTATAAACTAGTGGTATCCCAAAAACCGGTTTTAACTTTCCTTATTGTTAGTGTACAGGCTGTTTGAGTTTTGTTATTAACGAAGTTTGTTTTGAATAAAAATAAGGTACAACTTTTACTATTGCTACCCGTATTCTTTTTTTTTTTTACAGCTGTTGTTTTGTGTATCCTGTGCTGAGCCTTTTCATTTTTATTGCGTTGAACGGCAATTCAGACCACGTAAAAAAGAACATTTTATATGTCGAAATTGTACAACATGTAAAGTTTGCCGTCGTCCAGCTTCTGATCTACGCTGTATACGTTGTTCCGTCGGTTATCATCCAGATTGTTTACTTGATTTTCCACCTGCTAAGACTAGTCAAAGAGGTTGCTGGGTATGTAAATTTGTCTACCATTATCTCAGTTTGATTACAATCCTTTCAGTCAAGTTCCATTGTTTTCAGATAATTACGATAGATTTCCTTTAAAGTTTTGCCTTGTTCTGTCTGCATTTTGTTAGACCGAACCACTTTCTCGAGCAAAGTCCAGATATTCGATGGTGGAGATTGTTGAAGTATGATTCGGCTTAGCGTTTTAATCATTGTTGCTATCCTAGACGTTTGTCATATGAAAGTCACATATTAGTTTTATACTCAACCATGAAGGATAAAGGGCCTATGATGAGCCATTTTATGTAGGTATGGATATAGTATGCATAGAAAGTGAATGTTGTGGTTGAATGTTATTCCATATTCGATAAATTTTTTTATGTTGGACATAGTGATACTGTATTACTGGATAGTAATATTCTATCACTATGGTCTATATCCGATAAGCTAATTTTATATGGGTATAAATATTCCCTTTTAAAGTGCATATGTTTTTCTTCATCTGACAATCAGTTACAATTTTCATGATTGAAAAGAAGTCATGATTTTTTATAATCAGGAGGTATTGTAACTCAATCCATGTTATGACAGGTAGGTAACTCATTGATCAGTCACTGGAAGATGACCAACTTCATGTTGTCTAGTCCTAGGTGTTGATCGAATTCTGTCGTTCTTTTTTGCAACATGACTACCAGACTAGGCGGCTCAATCCTTCAGTGACCAATTAATATTTCTGATCCAATCCTACTGGAGATCAGTCGTGGCCTGAATAGCTAAGTGGTAACACCTGTAACTGCAGCACTGGCTAACGTGGGTTTGAACCTCAGGCGGGACATCCGTTCCGTAGGGGTTACAGATACGCCTTTCTGACAAGTGCCGAAAAGCATGGAACCTATGTCCATGGCTTCCTACAGATTGCCTCCATCCAACTTACAGATAGGTAACTCAGATATCATTGAATTGGATTTTACCGCCTGTATTGTGGTGGAGCTGTAGGTCATCGGATTAGGCTGTTAGCTTTCAAAGACTGTGTTGAATCCAAACTCCACCCCACCTATGGAGCTTTGAGCAGCTAGATAGTGCCACAAAAGCCATCACACAGTATATGTGACTTGTTGCTTAAGGCAAAATGCGGCACGTTGTTGAGATGTTGCATTCACTTACAAATGAATGTATCGATGCCATAGACATTATCATTTACTTTAGATGTTCTATGAACATATTTTGTCTTGATGGTTCGTTTGTTCGTAGTTATACTCGCGTAAGTTAGGTAAACCCACTTGAACAGTTGTCTATTAATTAGCTTGTTGACTCATCTCTTGCAGTTATGAGGTTTATAACCATTTGTTACTATGTAGCGTACTTGATTTGGTATGAGAATTGTGAAAACAATATACAGTAATTCTAATTTTCAAGGTATGGTTCCCTCTATCTCTTTCATTGACTTAATTATTCTGCCCTTCACACATACGCAAAAAATGTTTCCTCCTTCTTTCTAGAATGTCTCTAACTCTTTGATTTAATTTTTCACCATTTAGACATGTCCAGAGTGTTCAGTTTGTCTACATTGTGGAGTTAGAGCTTGTAAACCAGCTGAGACATCTGACGTTGGTACATCTTCAATAGTTCGTGGGAATTATACACCCTGGTCACTCGAAACCAACAAGTGTGCTGCATGTAGCCAAGCTGAATCTCGAGGTGATCTTTGTCCAGAGTGCGATCGTGCTTATTTACCGAGTACAAAACAAATGGTTCAGTGTGATAGTTGTCAGCTTTGGATACATCGAACCTGCACAAAACTAACTGGTATGTATTTGTCAAGAGTTCATATTATGTTTTCACACAAATATTGTTGCCTTAGGTTTCCAGTATGCAGTTCGAGTCGCTAAGTTGTCCCTAATACCTAGTAACTAACAAACAGATTGGATTTCGTCCATTTCTGAATATTGGATAACCTTTAACATTGAAAGGTACCTATTGAAAATTGGGGTAGCTGATACACAAATATGATCACTGGACTCGAACAATACATTGGAGACAGTGGTCAATCATGATTGCATTTACATTTGAATTTATGTTGATAATATATGGCTCATGAAGCCAGTTTAATTTTGTATGATATGAGATTAGTTTTGTAGCAGTTGTATTAATGAATAAATGGGGATAAACATTTCAACATAGATCCTGGCAAGGAAGTTCCACTAATCCAAAGTACCAAACTTCTCTTCAGCATGCAAAGAGCAAATGGATAGAAAAAGAGGAATATCAAAGTAGACGAAAGTGTACAAGAGGAGAGAGAATTGAAAAAAAGATGGTTAGTCAAAATATTCGGAATTTCAAAGATATCAAATAGTGAGAATACATTTTCACTATTATCACCGATATTCAGCCATATCACCAAAGGTCTCCAACCGCTGATTCCTGTTGTCTCGAGGACCCTAGCCAAGTATTACATCCGCATGAATAGAGATCTTTCAGCGTAATTTGCTGTATTGGATAGAATCATATATATTCAGGCAAAGTAAACAGAATATATAGTGTCATTTTTGCTGTTCTTATTAGTAGAATAAGTAAACGAAATCAATATCTTCGACTGCAGCATCGCTTGTCTCACAAATCTGTGCAGGCAATAAATGAAGACTGTTGTATATTTTGGTTTTGGAAAGCTGAGAAAAACCATCTTTACTCTCTTTAAAATGAATCTACGATCTTAAGATTTCAAATACTTCCTATTTAACTTATCAGAAATTTCAAGCGGAAAAAAAAATTGTCTTACTCTACATCATAAATACGTTGAATTCTAAAGTAAGATTTTGAGACTAAAAATAATTTTAGACAATAATATTCAGCGTTGCATGAACCAGAGACGATGACGAGGTTACTCAGTTACTTAAGCACTTAGATTTCGGTTGATAATTCTCGGGTTTAAATCCCAATCTATTTACTTCGATATGGATGGTTGGATAGTATCATCAGGGTTCGCAAAATAAGTGTGCCTCGTAGCCTAGTACACAAGCATTTATCTTGCGTTGCATTAAAGTTTATTTCGAAATCAATAATAACCACCATACAACAGCTTTATTGTTTCCTCTGTTGCAGCAGTGTAAAATGAAAGTGGTGAAAGCCTCTTTCAATGTATCCCCAGGACTCACTTCATAGACTCATCTTTTTCTTGCTTCTATTCACTTTTATTTTTTACTTCTGTCTGTCATTTTATGTCTTCTTCATATTATTTTATATAACGCATTTCTTAGTGCTCTCCACCATAATAAGCTTATTATTATTTATTTGTCCCTTGGGTTCCTAGTGGAACAAAGGGCTTCAGTAGCATGTCGCCATTCCACTCTCTTCTCTGCATTCTTTTTAACCTGGCTCCACGTCTTCCCACAATCTTTCATTTCTTCCTCACGCCATCTCCTCCATGTCACCCCCGCTTTGGACGCCAAACTCGTTGTTTCCTCTTTGGGTTCCACTGGAGGGCTTGGCGAGTGATGTCACTCAAATGTTCTTCTCAGTGTATTTCCAATCCAATCCATCTTCACTTTCTTCTGCATATTTGTTGAGCGATAAGTTCTTGGTTGGTTTGTTGTCAGCCAGACTGAGTTCCTTGTTGCCTCTTCGTATTATTCTGGCCATCTCATCTGATCTTGAGTATCGAGTGAGCGTAGACATCTGTTGATGAATGTCTGTAGTTTGCTGGAAATGCTTTTCGTGACACGCCAAGTTTCTGAACCAATATGGAAGCACTGACTTGACTGACGTTAGTGTTGAAAATCCGGATCTTGTTCACGCTTTATTGCTGAGTGCAGTACAGTGCAGTAGATTTCCACACTGATTTCAGATTAATGCAGGAAGGCCTGTCTTGCTGTCTTTCCTATCCTGGCTGCTTTGACATCCTCGTCTGTTCCACTACCTGTAGTTGGAACGATGCTGCCTAGGTAGGTGAAAGAGGCTGCTTCTTTTAGGTTTCTCCCACTCATCGTGATTGATGCTTGTTGTTGTTGTTGTTGGTTGGGTATCTTCATCACCTCTATCTTCTCTACATTCACTTGAAGGAATTCCCGTCTTCACTGCCCTGCCTCTTCTGTCAACTTGTTGGTTTTGTCTGTAGATCTTCGAGTTTGTGCGACAAGATGATATTAGACATTATTAAATCATCATCGATGGCGTAATCCAAATCTTCTTCTAGGATCTTTTCATCGACACCCAGCCAGCATACGCCCCTCTTCTCACTCCTCACGGTTTGCTGCATGATCCAGTCCAGTTGACCACAATCACGAAGATCATCGGTGATAGCAGGAGGCAACCTTGTCTTAACCCCCCACCTGTCTTCACTTCACTTCAGAGGCATCACTGAGATTTCCATTGTGTTGTCAATCACTTGGCATGTAGCATCATATACAATGGCATATAGCTGTTGAATGAGGTTGACAAAGGTTTGTGGAACTAAAACTGTAGTGTTGAAGCAACTGCCTGCCAAATTACTTCTCGGTCGACGCTGTCCAAGGCCTTTTCAAAGTTGATGAAGTTGAGGTAGAGAGTTGACAGCCATTCATACTCTGTTCTTTGGTGATGCGTAGCATTGCGTTGCAATCAGATCCGCACATGGTTTGTTTTTCCTGAAGACAGCCAGTCAGCCGGCAAGACTGTTCCAGTGGTAATTTTGAATCCAGTGCATTTTTAGTCTCGGCCGAGGATGATGTGGCATAATATTTTGTTTGCTTGGGGTTGACAGTGACAGGAGCATGATCCTTCTCCAGTTCCTGAAAACACTTAGTTCTCCTTGTTTTGGAGTTTGACAAGGTAGCCCTTCTTCCAATCAATCACTGGGTAGGTATCTTTCCTTCCTTCCAAACCTTCTGCAATAGTGGTGTGGTGTGAGCATGTCAGCTGTTGTCTCTGAGTCAGCTTTCAGTGCTTCTGAGGAATTCCGCCGTCTGTTTATGCTGCTTTCCCGAATTTCATCAACTTTGTGGCATTCAGGACTTCATTTCGGCCTATGTCGAGGGCTTGTGTTCACTGGTAATTCTGTGGTGGGACCGCTGACTGCATTTCTGGACTAGTTGCAGGTGGTGGTAGTTGTGGTCGATTCAAGAGTTTTTTGAATTGGTCTGCCATTGTTTCCTTTATTTCTCCTCTTCACTAACTAGGTTTGCTTCACTATCTTTCATTGATTTTGTCTCTGTTGATCTCTTCACTTCCAGATAGTAGTCTGATTATTTGATACGGTGTTGTCAGGTCTCTGTCTCTCCTACCTGCAGCCTGTTCTGCTTCACTTGCCAATGTATCATAAAAGTGTCTTTTGTCTTTCCATGCACTCTTCTTCACTTCTTTGTCCACTGTTTTATAGGTTGTGTTCAGTTCCTCTTTTCGTTGTTCATCCTTGCCCAGCACTGCACTGGTTCATCTTCATCTTCTGCTTCATCATCACCATCACCATCATCATCTTCCTCTCCCTCCCCTATCAACCTCCCTCCATGTGTCCTTCTAGATCCACTCCTTGTCTTGTCTTTGTCTCCTACTTTCCTAACACGACTATGCAGGTTTCTTACCACATATCTTTCAAAGAGTTTCAGTGTTCTTACATGCAGGTCTGTCTCTTCGGGGATGTTGCTTAATGTCTCTCATTTTGTCCTGATGACTGGCTAACATGAAGATGTCCTTTGTAGTTTCATCCTTCAGTTTCTCTTCTGGCTGTCCAACTTGAACTGTGGTCTATCACCAGCTTCTTTGAATTGAAGGCTTTCAACTTGATTTTGAAAGTAGTTTCCTTGTACTAGATAGTGGTGTGTGGTGTGAGTGGTGTGAACCTATATCTGCTCCCTTCTTCATCTGATCTTGTGTCCAGTAGGCTGCATCTCCATCTCCACTTTCTTCACATTGAAATGAAGTCGATCTGATTTTAGTGTAGTGTGTCCTGGTATCTGGTGAAATCGATGTTAAATCCATGTAGATGCCTTGTGAATATCCTTGTATGTGTTTGTTTGTTTGTTTGTACACACTACCTCCAATCACCAAATAGTTGAATGCGCAGAAATCTGCAAACAATTCTCCATTCTCATTTCTCACTTCACCAAGTGTTTCTCGACCCGTGATTGCTTCTCTTCCTGTGTTGTCTGCTCCGAGTTTGGCATTCATTTCACCCCACCCAACACAGAATGAATTTTGATGTCTCCAACTACAGTCTTCTTCAGTAGTGATTGCAGTTGTTTGTAGAATTCCTCCTTCTCCTCTTCCTTCATCTGGATTATTTGTGGGTGCTTAGCGTAGCCTTGTGTGATTGTGACTTTCCTTCCTTTCGAGTTGAATCTCGCTGTCATGATCCTGATGTTGGAGGAGGAGATTGGTTTCCACTGCATCAGAGAGAGAGAGAGAGAGAGAGAGAGTCTTGAATGCTGTTGGCAGGGGGACATCATGATAGCCACTCGAAAACTCAGTGTGTTGTGCTCGTGGTTGTCATCTGTGTGACAATATCGGAGTGGATTAGCTTATTGACTCCTCTCCAGTTGACAGTTTGGAGAGTCCACTTCCATTCCATCTGCCGATTGCTCACAGATTTCCAGTCTAGCACTTCTATGCTATCTATACCTTCTCATCTCTTTTGGAATCTGGGCAGCCTTGCCAGCCATCTTCAAACTTCGTGCGGACATTCCATGTCTCCATGTTTACTTTTGCTTTCATTGTGAGTAGCGAAGACACATGGGGAAATTGGCTTCCGAAAGCAGGCTTTCACCAACGGGGTTATTCCGTCTCCCTGATTGCAGAGAGGAATAAGTTTATTTTTATTTTTTATATTTCGTCGGTGCTTTTAAGTTTCTTTAGCGGTTGTATTGGTTTAACGGGGTGTGGTTGCTTGCCCTATGTCCAACCTTCGGTGTTTATGCGTGCTTAGGACCCTCTAGTAACCACTGAACTAGTTAACCAGGCGAGGTTAAGTTCTGAATAAATGGAAAATAAAGCGATGATTGCTATATCAAGGAATGGGGTCGTACCGAAACAATCTGTAAAATTAGTTGATTTCAAGTTGGTATTCACCATGGATTGACATTTGGAAGAATATTGGAAACCTGAGAGAACTGGATGGCTGTTTCTTCGTGGTATGGGACTTCCTAGCAATGCGCACTCATGCCGCTGCTATGCACCGAGTCCAGGACCTTCGGGTTCCGCGACCAGCACCTTACCATTGAACCGCCGGTTTGGAATCCATTGGTCCATATTTCCTACTTCTGTCAGTTCGCGACATACCCCTACCATCACCCAGTGTCATCGGTGAGTATTTTTCCTCACGTCCGCCAGGTTCGCCCCACTGGCCACGACTTCCCATTGTAACTTCAGGAATCATCTCTCGAAGCTAGTCACCAATAAGCACTAGATTAATTCAATTTGGGGGTTTGTGAGGATTTATTGATTTGAGGTTGGTATTCATCATGGACTGACATCAGTTGGAGAAAGACTGGAAAAGTGAGAGCACTGAACAGCTATTTCGTCCTAGTACGAAATTCCTAAGTAGTGCGCACCCATGACTCTGCCAGGGAATAAGTTAAGTGACTTAATTTTCCCACCATATTCTGAAGCGTAAACACCAGTCGGCAGTGAAGCTGTGTAATGCGGAAGTTATTAAGCTGTTTGGTTTAGGGAATATCAAGCAGTCAAAGAGTATTTGCTTTTAGGAAGCGTGTATTATCACTCGATATTCATCCCTTTATCTTTATAATTAGTCTTCATAATACTTAAAAATGTATGTTTTTCCGGTGTGAGACGTTTTTTCACTGACGATTACAAATTGTTTTCCCCTCACAGTTGACGAATATGAACTCATTGCCAGAATGCCAGCCGGACAGTTGAGCAAGTTTGTTGTTATCTGTTCTGTTTGCCAAAAAGAACAAAAGTCCCAACAAAAGTCAAATTCCTCTCGTAGTAATAATCCTTCAAAGCAATCTGACTTTCAAGATCAAAGTGGAACGGATATGACTGAAAACACTGATGAGGACAATGAAGGAATGAATAACAGGAATACGAATTCCCCAAATAGCGTTGCACATCAACTACGAATGTTAGCACAAGATACACTTCTGGAGAGAATGGCAGGTTTAGTACAGAACTGCTGTAGGCCCAGTGAACATGATCAGAATGCTGCTTCATCAATCAATTCACCATCTTCAGTTTCCGTTCACAGTCCAACTCATATGACAGCTAGTTCTGGTGGAAAATCTCCAGGATTGGGCAGTAGTGTAAATAATAAAAATGAGCATCCAACCAGACAATGCTTACCTCAGGTATATTCATCTTTAGCTACATTTCGTTAGTATGTTTTTGAAAAGACTTCATTATGACCTTATATATATATATATATATATATATATATATATATATATAATGTATCACAGTTGGTGTCCACGAAATAGAGAAGACAACTTATCGATGTGTAGTTCAGAGAAATGCACCATATTCAATCGCATAAATTTTAAGTGTCATTTCTATTTCAATATCTTTCTACTTACAGTATGACGGGGTATGTGATTCCGATTCTGGAGATGAGCTAACTGCTGCAGTTGAGGCTGCTGCTTCCTTATGGAATCCTTTGGTTGAGCCTTCTAAAATTACTCCCACCTCTGAAAATCCCGGCCTTTTACCTTCAATCAGTATCAACAATCAATCATGTGAAATTGTTTGTGATACTCTTAGTACTTCTGGCATATCTTCGGATCCAGTTAGTGTATCGTCTAATTTAACCTCACAACCGTTTCAGACAAACACTTTGAGTTTGACATCACCTATGGACTCTATTAGGAACTCTGGTAATGCAGTTTCAAGTGAAATATCTGTTTTACCCATCCAACCATCGCCGCTTACTGTTAACACTGGATATAAAACTGAATTCAGTCCATTGCAGCCTAATGTTCATTCAGAAACTGCCTTACGTGAATGTTATCCAAATTCCAGTCGTCGACGATACAGTTCATCAAGCTCGTCAAGTTCACGCCAAATAATTGTTCCTGCCCCACCAATCAGTGCTCTTTGGCTCGTTGATAATGAATCGGAGGATATTTGGACTAGTCCGGTATGTTAATCTTTAATTTGTTGCAAATAATTGTCGTTGTTGATGCTTAATAACCCTTAGGAAGTTGGTTATACTAAATCACGTTCAGATAAACTCAGTAAAGTTTTATCGTTATGAATCGTTTAAATTTGCTGTTGGAGTTATGACTCTGTGGTGTAGGTGTTTATGTTAGGTTTTGATAAGTTTCTCTATGATCTATTCTTGGTATATACTTCTAAACCCTCAGTTTCATTGTCATCATTTCACGTGTTTTAATGGAATTATTATTATGCGCATCCAAGGTTTATTTAGTGTTTTAGGTGAGTTATAGGAATGTCAATAATATTAAGTTACATAAACAGATCTTTACGTCATTGTCCAGTTTTTCTGAAGTTTTTTGATTAGTTAGAGGTTTGATCACATCGTTCATAGTTCACTTCATCCAACTTTGTATAAGATAATGCATATCAGAGTTTAATCGATAAAAAAGGTTCTTATCTTTAAACGCACCATATTTTTTTCATGTGATGTGTAAACTAGCGTTAGTATATTGGGTCATAGGGGTGTGAAACCTGTGTATCGTCCCTTCGTTATATTTTACTTGCCAATGACTTTACCCACCCAGCTATGTTCGATTATACCATCTCCAACTAATATACTCTACCCATCGCTTCTCTTTTTGAAAAACCTGATTCTGTCTCTGCGACTGTGAAATTGCGTATCATTAAAACGTATTGTTACAACTGTAATGATCTATACAGTCGGTTATTTCGGTCGTACTAAAGAACAATAGAATAATTTATGTTTAATAAAAATGGATAGGCAAGGATTGGATTCGTTTAGTAGATTGTAATATGATAACTAAGTGGTGCTTACTCACATCACACACTGTATATGATGGGGGTGGTTGTAGATAGTTTAATGCTACAAGGAGTTCGTAAAAACAGTTTTAGATATACACTTCGTGTTTATTCGGCATATTTTACCTTTTTTTTTGGTGTATACACCTTTAAGGGGTTATATTTGTGGTCGTAAGTTAGAAGTATATTCTTGCTCTCTACTAAGCACAATACACGAGTCTATTTTGTATGGTACTGTGGTTCATTGGTTTAGGGAGATGACTTCCAACCTGTAGTTCACCCCACTTCACATACCTAGGTTTGACCAGCTATGCAGTATCATCTATAGCCCTCACAATAGGTTTGATTAATTGCCTACTGCACGAATATGCATAAGGTTGTTGAGTACATCCCATTTCATTTCCGTATTTTGCGTGTGATACGAAACTTCACAAAAGCAAACTCTATTAATTGAGAATCGGATACAGAATACCAAATGATTTAGGTTAGCGATATTTAATCTGAGAAGCTACTGCTTATTTGCTAGTTTTCGACTGGAAAGTGTGTTTTCAAGGTGAAGCAGTTTACATTAATCAATTGTTAACCATACCAATATACGGACTGCTAATGTAGGAGTACTGACATTGATTAGATTACTTACAAGAAAGTTTCCGTGTAATTTCAGTGTGCTTAAAAACAAACAAACAAAAACTAAATTTTTCTCAATACGACACTACATAAGTCGCACAACTGGTTTCCATTTTATCGACTCAATAAACCGTACTCTAATTCATACTACTGTGATTTACTGCCATCCAACAACTAAAATAACCATTTAGGTCTCTTTATTTTAGGAAAGAAATCAGTCGAAATAAAGAAACCTAGTTGGTTATTTCAGTAATATATAGAGCGGCCTTCAAAGTCACTCGTTATGGTTGTCGTTTATGCGTGAAGAAAATGTCTAGAGCCTGTTTTTTTGACATCCAAGTGTGTTCATGTTTTTTTTGTGTACCTGAATTCATCTTTTCTTGCGTTGTGTGTGGGAAGCATGCTTTCTCACGACTTCGCTTACAAATGAACAGTGCTTGGATGCTATTCCTTTGACCATGTTTAGTTTGGTTTTGTATACTAATGGTTTCGTCTGATAAAAACTTACCATATCAACTCGTCTTCTGAGTATTACTATGGATGTAGTCAAAGCGTGCAAGGCTTCTGAGATCAGCCATTTCTTTGCGCAAAGCTTAGAACCCACTGACCACCAGCTAATATTTCTTAGTTTCTAGGTTTCTAGTTTCCTTTCTGACGAAAAGAATGTGTAAAACGTGATCATGAGCATTTTAACCGGTCAATGTTCTCATTAAAAAGAAATTTTTTAGTAGAACTATGAACAAGCGCTTTTCCAACCTATTGATTGTTATTTTATACCTTGTTGTTTAAAAGGAATGGTAAGTTAACTCCAGATTATATCCATCATATTTCAGCCTAACTCTGTTGTATATTTTTCGGAATTTATTGTTTGTTGTGGGTGGATCATTTATCAGTGTATACGCAACAGCTGCAAATCTAAGGAACAGAATAGAAAGAGGACAGGTAAAAAGGTTTACGGAACATCTCATCGTGTTTATTTCAGTCAGTGGCTTATAGGTGTAGGATAGGAATAAACAAGTGTTGCCATTACATTCAATGACGCACAACAAGCAATAATGACTTAACAATGTTGAAGTTATATTTTACAGGTAGTAGTTTTTGTTGTCAGCAATCTCACCCTTCAATGAACGTTTTATACAGTGTATGTTGCCCTGAATTGTTCTGAGTTTCACTAATCTACAACATTTTCTAATATACCTTACAGTTGTTCTTTATCAATGAATTCGCCTCTTTCAGTTTATCCAGAGCCAAGGAATTCAGTGACTTAAGAATAAGCTTTGATACTACAGGGAGTAAATAGCTTCTGAACTACCATTTCGACATGTTACGGTCTTAGTAAACACGCATGATTTCCCCGTATAATTCTTCTAAATACTTACTGTTTTGTTGGTCTGATCAAAAATGCTGTTTAAACGGTTTTTTTGTTTATCAGTTTGCAATCAGAATGTGTTGTACATTCTGAATTTTATTAAACATGTTACTGGGATTTGTTTTCACTCCATTTGTCATAAACTCAAATCAGTTGTGGCTATCCTGCTCATGAAATAGTTTGATCGGAAATTTAGGTATTCAAGGGTACTGGTTATATATATATATATATATATATATATATATATATATATATCTTATCGTCTGCTGTTTAGATTAGACCGTCCAATAAGTTTATATTTGGTGTATTGGATTTCATTTCCTCAGAAAGTTTTGTGCCGTTCGAAACTGTGTTAATTTGTTTTAGGGAACTTTCTTTAGTTCTTTTCTCAATGATTACAAAAACTTTCACCTACTTTTTTCTATGCATAACCATTTTTTAAGGTGTGACTTATTGGTGTAAACACAGTATTCAAATTTGATACTCACTCCATCTACTTTGGTCTGAGCAACAAGATATTGTCATGACTACTGACATAGCTATTAGTGTGGCTTATGGCCTTGTGCATAAACACCTTTACCGACTTGATTGAACTATATTAACCACTAAGGTGGTGAATTTTTTTGATATTTACTCTGTACCGTTTGTTTTAAGTAAATAAATGAATAAATGGGCATTAGAAACTGTTCAACATTGTTTCTTGTATTGCTTCCAAATAGAAGTGTTTCCAAATTTCAGCATACAAACGTGCTTATTGTAATAGCTTTTAATCGACAGAAATCCTGTTTATATCGGTTCCGGATCTAACTTGGTTATACCTGTTTAGTCGCGTTAATTCAGAGAACCTTTGTTCGCACTCTCGAATATGTTGTAGCACATGTTTTTATCACGCAGTTTCATATCTCTCTCTCTCTCTCTCTCTCTCTCTCTCGATTTCTTAAGCACGAGTTGTTAAAAATTGTTGTTGAAGTATTTTATGGATAAATCTTCCTATTTTATGAATGAAATACAATGTGATATTTATGAATTTTGATAATTTATAGCCCATTCTATGTTAATCTACTTTGTTTGCATGTTTTTCATTTATTTAGCGTTCATTGGTCTACCGTATACTAACAAGAATTCTACGTCGTTTATCTGCACATGCAGTCAGCTCCGAAGCAGCTGGTATATTGAGAAAACTTCTGTGTTGGTTCACCTCTGTAACACAGGCTTTCTTCCCTTGGCTTAATGTAACTGAAATGGCTAGTGATGGTAAGTTAATTCTCTTTTTTATTGGTGATAATTTATAACTGTTATATTTTTACGGTTTATCCATTCTGCTCTGATTTATCTTGTCAAGTGAATAATATTCAGAAACTGTGTTTATATTTCGAATTTTCATTTATGTATTATTAATGTTGATATCATCATCATCATTATAATTGTATGACTTATAAACAAGTTCTGTTTTTTTAGATAACTTGTTTTTTCCTATTGATCGAGGAAAGCGCATGTAGAGATGATAATAATTTCTAGAAGCTGTTACTCTCGTAGTTTTCAACAAGAAGACTAAAATTTTTCTTCATAAATTAGCTAGTTTTGTTATCCTTAGTCTAAATTATGTGCTCACTTTTATGAAAGTGTTTTGTTTCAGCCTTTAGTTGTTTTCATAATGACTTATCGATTAGGTTTATTTTACCCAAAGGAGAACGGAAGCTTAATTAAACTAAAATTATTTATTTATGATTTCCGACTCAGTGTTATGGTTCTCGTTCTAGCAGCATATCATCGGTCGAATTTTAATTCTAAGCAGTAGTTTAGTGGTCCAATTTATGCTTTACTTACTTGATCAAGCGGATTGTGTCGTAATCGCTTATAATCTAGAACACAGATACCTGTACGAAGTTGAGTTGTGTCGTATATCTTTTCATTCAGTGTATCGGACCAAACAAAGTAACTCGGTTGGACATTGTGTGATATTTTGATCCCAGGATGAATGCCGATAAGCGCATTTTAGTAGCGTTAATGTCGTTAAAGGTTGTTGCATATCATGTTTTGGTGTTTTATCTTCTCTTCAACTTATGCTGAACCTCAAAAACTTGTTGAGTAAATAGACTATTTTATTGTTATTTGTCCTTCGGGTTCCTATTGGAACAGAGGGTTTCAGTAGCACGTCGCCATTCCACTCTCTTCTCTGCATTCTTTTTAACCTGGCTTCACGTCTGCCCACAATCTTTCATTTCTTCCTCATGCCATCTCCTCCATGTCACCCTCGCCTCGAACGCCAACTCGTTGTTTCCTCTTTGGGTTCCACTGGAGGGCTTGGCGAGTGATGTCACTCAAATGTTCTTCTCAGTGTATGTCCAATCCAATCCATCTTCACTTTCTTCTGGATATTTGTTGAGCGATGGCGTTGACTATGCGTAAGGCATAGCTTCATCCAAACATGTATATCTTTACTTAAGGTGTTTTATTTTCATCAACCAATGTTATTATTATTATTATTGAGTTGAATTTTTTAAAATTAAATCTTTTCCAGTTCGTGATATTCTACGTCAATCCAATGGTAAATTTAGTGATGTCGTTAAACATTTCCAAGAACTTTCTCTAATTGAACTGCATGAACTTGTTTGTCCAGTTATTGCTCGATTGAGTGAAAATTGTTCGCGTGTACGAAATTCGATGTCTGATCAAACAGTTTATAGTGTCAGAAACATTTCAACATGTTATCTACACATTCGAGAACATTTAAAAGAATACCATCTAAATTATCAATTGAATGAATCCACGGAATTGGATCCTTTAGAAGTTACTAAGCAGTTTGTAGCTGTGTGTAAACGCTCTCGTTGTCGGCGTCCGCATGAAGTAGAGATGTTCGAACAAATGAAACAAAGTGCTCGCGATGATCGATGGATTGAATACTGGTCTTCAATTGAAGAAGAAAGTTAGTTTTCTGACATGGTTTCGTTTTACTTTATCTCGTATCTGCGCACATTATATATTCATGAAAATTAGATTTAGAGAATCGTGTTTAACAATTTTTTGAAATGAAAAGAAAATCAAGCGTATGATAGATGAGTTAATTGTCTAAGCTAATCACTAATTAGTTAGTAAATTAATAATTATTTTTCCAAGGATTCACCTCACCATCTACTTTGATATTGTTGGTATTAGGATGTTTTTGGTTGTCATAGAATTGTGGATTATTTTCCACGAATCGGTGGTTAGTTTCTAAGTTTGGTAATTTTTTAAAACAGTTATTCAAGGACAAGAGGGAGGAAAATGGTTGTGAATTCACCACTTATCATCCATTCTTCTAGGAAAGAATTATCAAGTTGCTTATTTGTATACTTGTTTCGTATAAAATTTATAGCAGAAAAGTCATGATAAACTCATTTCAAACAAGCATTTACACAGAAAAGGTATACCATCAGACATTTCTTGTCCAGAGAGTATCGCGACTCGATCGTAACAGTTGAATCAATGAAATAATAGACAAAATCCACTTTCTATGGGGTTCGATCATAATATAGACTTATTTGGATCTGCAGTCTATTTTAAGTTACTTAGGTTCTGTCTGTAGTAGGTTAATTTTATACGTGCCTCGACGAACTGCTATTACTTAGAGGATATCTTGTGTTTATACGAGAAAGTTTCAGAAAAAAACTGAGTGATATGACGACTGGGCACATGCAACGTGAGCAGTCTGCCTTCAGCCTACTTTAAATGAAGACGATAATTACTATTCATCAGGCAAAATCTTTCGTAGGCTTCAGGGTTACAGGTCTTCCGCCTAGAAGATGAAGAGGGATATGTATGAAGAATAATGCAGTATGGGTTCATAACAAATATTTTAACACTGTTGCTGCTTTGGATGCATAACTTTTTTCTATAGGAAATTGTAATTTTTTCGGTATCGACTGTAATTTCTATTCTGTGCGGTAGATTTCCCCTTATCTTCTATTGAGTATCAGTCTATCTACAAGACGTGATATTACTTCAATTTTTGCATGGCTTTAATATGACTAGTAAACGGAAAGGAATACTTTTGATATGCAGATTCACATATAGGTGCATAATTCCATCATAGTTGTTAATTTCACTCTGTTTTTATTGGTCTTTATCACACATGTATGATGATTTTGTTATTGGAATTCACTTACTTATGAGATATTTTGGAGACGCGTAAGTTACTTTGGCGAATTGGTCACCGGTTGGTAACGTATTCTGGTTGTCAAGTATTAAGTACTTCAACACTAATTGAAGTCTATCAGTCAAGTTTACATTGTTTCGATCAGGCGACCCGACCTTACATCGAACTATGTATAGTTTTTGAAGTTTGATGCTAGTAGTCGATTTGTAGTTATGTATGCAAATCATTTATTTTGACTGTGTTACATAGTTTATATTCGTATCTTTATTTTGTCTAGTGGTCGTGAAGAAGTTCCAAAATCATTTGATCAAGTTGTACAGAAAACGTCTTCATAAGTTACCAGCTCTACCATCACCAGATCAAAGTAGCCAACATAATAAATGTAGGAATGCTACTTCTAATGTTTATAACCCTTCGGGAAACGGATCCGACCCATTGGAATCTAACAAGCAAGAATCAATTCAACAAAACTCAGAAACGCTTATGGAAAAACCATGTAGAATCTTCTGATCAGGAGGTTGCCAATAAGTTGAGTGAAAACGGAGAAAGTAATGATTTGAATATGCATAATTCCGACATACCTTTGACACCACTTCTGCTACTGGAAAATGATGAGAATGAACCACCTATTGACTCATCAGTTGTTGATTCTGGTCGTTTTTATTTTGCTTTGGAGGAATTTTGGAATGAAGACGAAATAAGAAAACCACTTATTTTGCCTAAGAAGATCCCATCCCAGCGTTTTGTTGATCTCGATGAAGAAGAAGAAGTAAATCAGAAGATTGCTGATGATGCTTTGCGTAAACATTTGGCTGATGATTGTGAAGACGAGGATTCTAGACGTTGCTTGTTATGTGGCTATCATGGAGACGATAATATTGAAGGTCGTTTATTATACACAGGGTCAGATACTTGGGTAAGTCTTTGTATGATACATAATTATCGTCACTCACAAATACTAGTTAAGAAATCCAATGGTTAGGGATCAGTCGTATATGGAGCTGTGGCTCAGGGGTTTACAGAGATGACTATGAACCACTGAGTTACGGGTTCGAAACTCACTCCACCTACTGAGGTCCGGGCGGCCAGGCAGTAACACTAGCCCTCACATAATAGATGTGGCTCATTGTCTACCGTACGAATGTCCATAACGTTGCCTAGTGCGTTTCATTTGTTGGTTTGATTAGTTCTATTTGGTGTCATTTAGTATCTATCAAAGATGCTCACTTTAAACCTCTTTGTGTATCATATCTCGGAATTCCAGGTGGTTGGACAATCATGTTGTTCAACTGCCGAGTTGGATTATGACGATTGTTCTCTCTTCAATGCTGACTTTATAAAGTCGTGGCCTATATATATATACTGAGGACAGTTGTTAGTTAAACACATCAGAAGGCTTTTGCATCGTATTCGAGTGCATTATAAAAATACTTCTTTCAAATGTCACTGTAACATCCTTTCCCCAGAAGTATGCGGTTGGTGTATTTATCCTTGGATTATGTTTAAGTTTGTTTACTGCCTAAGTATACGTTAAAACCGTTTACTCAGTCTTCCTCCTGGATCTTACTGATCCTTAAACTCCAATCTCTAGGGGTTTTTTTCTCAAAATTTTTACAGTAAAAGCCGTTAATTTATTACAATGTAATTTACTACCGAATTAGTTATTCGGAGTTTCAAAGAAATCCCTTACTGCAGAATTTTATATTGGTTACCGCTAAATGTTGTATTCTTTTCTGATTTATAGGTGCATGTAAATTGTGCATTGTGGTGTAATGATGTTTATGAGGAGGATTCTGGTGAATTGATCGGTTTGTCAGATGCCATTCGTCGGGGTCGTTCTAGCAAGTGTGCCGATTGTGGCAAATATGGTGCAACTCTATATTGTTCTAATATGAAAACTGAAGTGTGTCCTTTGTCTTTATTGGCTTCATCAAGCGATTATGATTCAGATTATGTTGGAGCTGTACATTTCTCTTGTGCTCTAAGGAGATGCCCCCCGTCACCACGTTGTGTGTTTACTGCAGATCGTTCTTGGTTTTGTTCTCCAGTTTGCCATCATACAACTATGAATCAACGTCTATGTGAAGCTTTGTATTCATTAAGAAAGTCTTCTAAAACAAATCGTGATAAGAAGTTTAGTCGTCGTGAATCATGGGATCAGTCATCCGATGAAGAGTTGTCGCCTGATACAATTAATCCTGCTGACTTTGCTGATCATCCAGCATTCACTTCAATTGAAGAAACTATTGCTGATGATTTAGAGGTATTTATTCATTATTTTGGTAATTAATTAGTCATTTGTTAAGTTGTGGAGTTATGCATCAGCTGATTTAGGTGAATAATTCTCAAACATAAGTTACATAATTTGAGTTCATTGTAATTAAATCAGTTTAGGTATCTTGGTGTCATACGACCTAGTACATGTAATTGTAAATAATTCTTGAACTGTAGTTTTTATGTAATAAGCTAGTTGTAGTCTTGCGTGATGTGCACTCTTAAGCGGTGCTTTTCTTGACTGTGCTTACGTGTAACACCGATCAGGCATCGATTAAAGTTTGCCATTCATATTTCATCTTTTGAATTTTAATTGCTCACTTAAACTGACTGGGTATTTGTGTCGAAAACTATGTTGTGTAAATAGTTTAGAAAGTGTAATAACTATGATTGTCAACTATGAATTGTGGTAAGGTTGACATCTGTTAGATGTTCACCTAGTGGTAGGGGATTTTTTTGTATGCAAAGAATCCAGTGTATTGATAGTTTTATTTAGGTTATAGTGTTATTTGGTATCCTTGCATAGGATATGGAGATCTCTTCACTGTTTATTAGTTTTGCTCTACTCGCTAAATTAAGCACTGGACTTTGAAGCATTAGTTTCTGGGTTCGAACCCCCCTCCTCCCACTAGTTAGTCGACTCGTATCATAAGGCTCCATGCAGTCAATACCGCTCTTAGCCTAGTACATAAGCATACACCAGTTCGTCAATTCACAGATGAGGGTAGGTGATTGTATTTTAAGTGAGGGATTATACACTTTTGGGCACTTAATATATATGCTGATTTGTAAACAAGTAAAGCTAGCTATTTAAAATAAATACAGGCTGTTGTTAGAATTCAACTAGTAGTTATGGTATGCATCAAATAAAGCGACTGAAAATGTATTTACCTCCAATGTATTTATGCCTTTTTCAGCCGATTAGTCTAGGAGATTTGCTCGTTTGTCGTCGGGTATTTGTTCCATCTGATTGCTTTGCTGCATCAGTGTATCCTCGGTCGATAAATACGGACATCATTCAAGACGTTTTTTTAATGGATGACGATGAGCATTCTGACCTAATGAGAGCTGCTAAAGAAGCTGTATCTGCTCTTGCTGTCTCACCGAATTCGTTTGCTTTTCTTCAAAATAATGGATTATCTGCAAACAGTCTTGTTATCACTATTGGATCTTTGCGTGTGGACAGATTAGGGGAAGTTCGTGAAGCTTCTGACTCGTTAGCTATGGCGAAATGGATTCCAGACTCTTATGAAGAACGAAATGCTATCACACGGAGCAATTATTTGTGTCCTATACATTATCGGTAAGTTTTTAGTTCATCACTGTATAGATTTGTTAAATATTGAGTATTTCAGTATACCTGTCAGAAGGGTTTCGACTTGCCTTTAAAAATGACTGGAATATTAGCACATCTAAATGCTCTCCTAGTTTTGTATTTTTTGTCCTTTTTTCTTCATTTTAATAGAGTAATATACTATTTATGCACACCTGTTCTTTGCTATTCATGTATAGGTCTGTTGTTGTAACGAGAAGCTAACAAGACGACCTACCTTCTATTTAAGCCATAAAATCTATATATGCTTTGGTAACAATATACACTAGTGCTTGTTTGTTGCCCTGTGATCGATAACCGTAGTCTTCATCAGTAGTTTGTAAACTTCAGAATCGAAATTTGACCTGATAGAGTTGAATAAGTTGAGCATTGGGTAAAATGCATTATCCATAGTATTGTTCTTACACCTCCACGCCGTCACATGTGCACATATTCACATCACCTTGAACTCCAGACTAATGATGGATAATAAAGACAAGTTTGAACGCTTTTTGACCAACATAACAATGACATTTATGTTCATATTATTATCATGTATAGACAATGTGATCTGATTCGTTACAATTTACTGTTTAAACAATCGATAACTTGTACAGGTTTCATTCTCTGAAGAAGCGATTTCCGCGAAGTCGCGAAACGTCAGAAATTTATTTTTCTACTTCATTGAAATCTTAAAAATATACTTCATTTGTGTTTATGATTTGCTATTATTATCATTCATTTTGTTCAACAAAGTAATTTGGAAAATATTAGTGACTGCTTTAGATGGTTTAAGAGGCAATCGAAAACCTGGATGTTAATTTTAGGTCTTTAATAATCTGAAGATTTATGTTTTTATAGATGGGTTCCAGAAGATATCTAGTTTTGCAGTCAACTTTTAGAATTTTTGGAGTGAATACTGACATGAATTAAGGGATATTGACTCCAGGAGACTCTCAGAAGACGCTGAATAATTTTTCACGCCGAAAGGATTATCCAAAATTGAGTCGGACTAAAATCTTCTTATCTCAACAGTTTGATTGAAGTTAGATTTTTTGTATTGTGAGTTGCGTAACATGACAAAATACTTGAAGAGTGAGTTACCATTGAAAAGCATAGAAACAGGTAAGAATTGATATTACTGAAGAAGTTAGCAGAAAGGAAGAAAGATATGAGGGGGGAGGGTAGTTTGAAGGGTTGATGGAAAATTAATTTTGGGCATTTCTAATACAGTATAGCTCTATAATAGTAGTAGTAGCTGGTCGCCTTATCAACTTGAAAATATTATATTTCGTCTACAAAAGGATTTCTTTTCATCTTCTATTCAGGTGACTAGGAATATTGTTTATCAGTCTGGACTACTCAGTACTTAAATACAAGTATATCCAAAGGTTAGGCCATCCTTAACAACTTTTACTATCTTTAACGAATGAGAAATGATCCGGTTTGTTGCCATCTCTAGACAAAAGAAAACAAACTATTGTTCAACGTTGAATAGATCTATTTGAGAACATTACATACAACCGTAAAGCTTTGAAAATGAAATCGCTGAAAAGATCCTCTTCACTGAAGTACTCTTCTTTTTTGTAAGGTCTCTTAGTCTAGGAAATTTATACAACTTTGAAGGGATCGGTTTACCTCTGTTTTAATGGATAGGAAGACATTTTGTGAAGCAAGCAGTTATTTATTTTTAATAGTAGATAGGAGTTACGTGAAGAAATCACTTGTTTCCATGCCCTATTGTGATGAGATAAATATCCAAATGTTTTTGCTTCATTCTACTGTTGCGAGTGCGGATGAAGTGTACTCAGTGAAGGCTATACGCTTCGTATCTACGAAAAGGGTTGAAGAGATGTCGATGTTGATAGTTTTGAACAAATGAGAAATAGTGAGTGACTCATCAACTAATGTGTGTTATATCCTTATCGCTTTAGCATGGCTTTAGGTTTTCTGTGCAGATGTTAAGGTTTTGGTAACTATTTAATAAGATTTAGTTCCATTTCACTTTAGTGTGCATATTTTTAAAAACTGTTTCAAAATTTTTGTCCTGTCTATTTTAAGTGCACGGAGAATTTACTGGAGCTGGTCAAAACTAGATTCTCGTGTCCCGTATACTCTTCATGTGAGGCAAAATCAAGCACTACATACATCTTCTGGTTATATTGAAGCAAATCCTACTTCACGCCTGTCTCCTATTGTGATTACGAATTCTAGCAAATCGATTTCATTGTCTAAAATGCCTGTGGTAAATGCTACTAATTTAACTCGTAGCCACAACACTCCTCGTCTAGTCAATGTTGACAGTCGTATAAGACTTCTGGCCCCTGCATCGACCAATAAGTCTTCACCATATTTTTATGCTTCCAGTACTCTTACTCATAATAATTTAGTTGGTAGCAGTAATAATTATGGTGTTAAAAGCAATAATATGACACTTTCTACAGTTCAAGAATCATCAAAAACCTTAACAGCTGTCCTGACTGGCGCACCGCCTATTATTTCGTCTTCAACTATCTTATTGAGTGAATATGAACCTCCTGTTTTATTGAGTCGTCCTGTTGTCCATAATAATACTGTTACATGTTATTCTACTATACCAGTCAGCGGTTTTCAGATTGTTACTAGTTCGATAAATAATCCTGTTAGTCAAAGACAAATGATCCAATCATCTACTCTAACTCCTCATAATCCATCCTTGAAAATCATTAATACTGGTAAGTTATCGTTCAGTTAGACCTCCTTTTCTTTACCTATTTTTTCAAAGCTCAATATTTTACTATTTTCTGAAGGATCCATTATCCCAACTTTTCTGATTCAGTGCATCGAACTGTTCGACCTTGATTGGTACATTCGTTATTTGTTTGAATAACCAGCTGCTGTTGTTTTCAAATCTTTGATAGGTTTTGGCGGTTATTAGGATTACCAGACAGGTTTTTTTTGTTTCATTCAAGATTCGTTAGATGAGTGCCAATGTTAACTGATAATTTCATGGAGTTGTACACTAGTTTTCCCGATAGTTAGTAGGCTTCTAACTAGTTGATTGCAGCCTAGAAATTCACTTTATCTGCTAAGGTCAAACGAGTATCACTAACTTTCACCCGACTTATGTCACTTATAGCCTGGTAGTGCGACTGTCTGTATTGTTGATAGTTTGTATGATGCTCATCTGTTCTCGAAATTATTCGACCCGTCTTGTCAGGGAAATCACAATCTCGATAAGCACTAATATTTACCGATAGGAACAGCTCAAAGGTAAACCCCCTAACTACATCACTAGGTGATACAGGTTTGTATCTCATAAGAAGCATCTATTTTCTTGAATTCGCAGAAAGGGTCTATCGATGAGTGCTGCATCCATGATTATCGGCCAGGCCCCTGTGCTTTTAGTTCCTGTGAAACTAGACCTTAAATAAGTCATCTCGTTCATTGCTTTTTTATAAAATTACTGCCTACTGAGTTTGCGGGGTGTTTTACACTCATGCGAAATTCTGGTTTATTTGTTTGTTGTTTCAGTATCGCTTTCTACTCCATCATATTTACAACAAAGTCAACAGCATCAACTGTCAAGTCAACAGCCTTTAGTTCCACTTCATATGGCTCCTCAGGCATCAGTTAAGATCGGTGGTAGTATGGTAGCACTTGATATTGTGAATAGTATGCCTATGGAATTAAGCTACAGAATTGGAATCAATCCAACGACAGGTAAAATTTCGTTGTTGCTGTTCAGTATAATTAATTATCGAGGTGTTCACACTTGTCATATAATTTCGTCATATAGACTGTAGTGGGAACTAACATTTATACCTGTCTTAAAAGGATGAGATCGTTGTCTCAGTTTTTATTGATACGGAGATTTCCATCCCACCTTTTTCACGCAATTTTATCGTCGGTGTTCATCTTCACTGAGAATGCCAGTGAAATACTGTTGGGATATAGGAGTTGTCTTTCGCCTTCTTGACTATTAACTACTTTCTTTCTATGGGTAACAAGTATAAATAGTATTACATACACTAAGCTTATTGTGAATATACGCTGTGGTTTGGTAATGGCTGTATGTAGTATTTGGTTACTAGGTTTTCATCCCATTAATCAGTTTGAGTAGTAATTCCCTAATTTCTGTCATGCTTTTATAATAATAATAATAATAATAATAATAATAATAATAATAATAATAATAATAATAGTTGATATTCATATATATATTTCTTCTGTATATAATTTTATTTTTATAGCAGCTCCTTCTAGCACACAACTTAGAGTTAATAGTGTTAACATGGTCCCTATTAAGCAACAGTTACAACCACAACAAAATCATCTACTACAACTGCAGCAATTACAACAAAATAAACTTCAAGTAAACGCCTGTACTGGAAGAACCTTACTTCTTCCAAATCTGTACCAGCCCAATATTATTCCAGTCAATAACTTAACAATGCCTAATACAATAATCCCTGTACAACAGAATGGTCTTTCATGTCCTATCGGAACGATGAATCCTTTTCCTGTGAATATGAATACAAACAAATCTGTTACATTATCTCATGGTGGACCCAATGGAACCACAGTTATACGTATACAAAATGTTCATAGTAGCCAAAAAGGTGGAGGTCTACTAACTTCACCCACTAAAGATGTACAGTTGGCTACTCACTTGGATGGTTTATTCCATAAGTAAGCTTTGATTTTTGTTATTCCATTCTATTCAGGTTAAATCATCTACATATCTTATACTATAGATTATAACACTAGTACTTCAATTTTACTACTGAAAGTTTGAATCTTTTTTGGTTCCTGAATACGTTAGAATTGTCTTGAGCACGTGAAATAGAAGCAATATTTCCTATTCACACAAAACATTAACGCACAAATTAAGTAGAATTTCATGAGTTTATGACTGGGTTATTCGAATTTTAACAGTATAGAGTGGGATAAAAAGAATGAGTTTTTGTACGTTACTGGTATTGACTTTGAGCACTGTTATGTAAGATGTCCAGTGACTGATTTTTGGTGTTTTTTTAACTCACGTTAGCGGGTTTGAAATTTTCTACATTATAGCAACAAAGAACTAGTAATCGTATGTATTGGTATAATTTTTACTGTGTTCATCCTTTACTTATTCGCAGCCTTAATATCAACCATGAGTAATGTAGTATGATGAGTGGTGCAGTAAATTGGCATTGGTCATATATGAACCATCCATTTCATATGGTACTCTGAACTCCATACTCACTATTTATTCGTTTCCCTTCCCACAATCTACTCCTCAAAAATAACAAGTACGTATGATCTCCTAGTGATATCAGGTAGTTATGTAATTGTGTAATAGATTATAGAACTCTACAGTCTTGTATAAATGGTCCTCGTATCATGGATTTTACCCTAGTGTCAGAGCCAGTTTCTATATTGATGTCATTGATGTTTCTCCTTAGTTGGCATTACTGCCCATTATTTCATTTATCATACCTTCTCTGACATCGGTTATAATCAGGAATACATTATTCAGTGTGTTGAGAAGTCTCTAAGACATTAAATTCCTTTTACTGAATGGCTTTTAAAATTAATTCATTTTGGTTACTTTCTTCTTTTAGCGTTTCTATGGCTACAAGTCCGAATAAACGAGGTGCTACAAGTACAACGGTAAGCTGCCTACATTTTATTTAAGAATACTAAAAATTCCTATTGTTAAAAATAGAAGACATGTAAGCGAACAGTATTGTTTTCAATTAGCTCTCATCAGGCTTTACGCTAGTATACATAAATTTTCTCATACATAAAACATTAAACAAATCATGGTAGATTCTTTAGTCTGTAGTAACAAGGGGATGTGATAGATGATTTTGAACGCTTTGGTCTTATTACATGACCAATATCGACCAATTGGGACAGAATTGAACTTCGTATTGACTTCACTTGCCCCTTTCATAGCCTATGTTAGTAGGTGCTCAGCAACACGCTTATTAAGCTGCCTAGTTGTACGCCCAATATGTCTTTCTCCACAGGAAGAGCTGAATGGATAAGTCCATATAGAAGTGGTGTAACTGGATAGCTTGTCTTTTGTCTCAGCAAGAATTATCGGCCGACTAGAAGATGATCAGGGAAGGTTAACAGCATAGAAAGTTCGTCTGATGGCTGTAGACAGCCTCTAGAATAGAACTTCACCAAGTGCCTCCCCTTTAAACTGGAGTTTGATGAATAATTTCTGTTGAACAGTCATTTGTCATTAGCGTGAGACCCTAGTCTTTGTGTGCAGAAAAAGTTTGTGCAACCCTTATCTCTTCCGTGGTCAAAGAAAACTTACTAAATGACTTCAAAGATAAACTCAATTTTCATCCCATTCCCTTTCTTTATCTCTTTCACATACATGTTTATTTACTTAGACTTTGACTATCTACATATTTCATCCTTTAGTATTATGTAACTTTCGATTTTCTAGGTTGTGACCTACATTGATTGTCTAAATGTCGCAATGTCATACTGTTCTCATTAGTCTTATTATCACTGAGATAGCTATTCCTTTTCTTCTTCTTCCTCTTATTATTATTGTTATCTAGATACCTGCCATTTGCATGCTTTGTTTCCTTGTTACCACAGTCTAAAGAATCCACCATGATTGGTTTAGTGTTTTATATATGAGAAAATTTATGTATATTAGTGGGAAGCCTGATGAGAGCTAATTGAAAACAACATTCTCCTCTTACATGTTTTCTATATTTTATTTAGTACAGTCAATGTTATCACTTTTCAAACTATAATGTATATTATAGTATGTATGCAGAATGATATACTCGTCATTTAAATGAATAATTACACAATGGTTCCCAGGAGAGAATTGACCCATGTGGTTGCATCACAGGATGAGACTATATACCGTCATGGCTTTAAAAAGCCTAGATATGTGTTCAGTTCTCCTGAAAACCGTTGTACAATTATCCGTTTAAATGACAGATATATCATTCCATAATGTATATAGTTTTCTTATATTATATAAAATGATCACTCTATTTTGCTTTTACATTATTTTTTATTAATGAAGGATAACATCAGGTTTCAAATGTATTTCAGTCATTCTTAGTGAAAATTTCAGTTTGATAAAGGATATTTAAATCAAAATAACTACGGGTTCTACCCTACTCTAAGAAAATGTCTAACCTTTCATCAAAGAAACATGCATTATATCAAATTATTTTTTTATAGGTAATAACGAACCATGTGTACAGTTTAATCATTTGTGAAAAACGAGTAATTAAGTAAGGAATTGCGGGTGTCAATAGTTATTAACCTAACACTGGAACAAATATCTACTCCGTTATTATCGGTTAAATAAAAGATATTTAAAAATTATTGAAAGGAGTATTTATTACTGCATTCTGTTAGAGTGAAGAAATTAAGGTCCGAAGATTACGCTCCGGTGTCTAAATACTAGGCATCGTATTGAATTCTTTTTTCAACAGCGTACATTGTTATTCGAGAGAAATATTTGCTTTCATCGAGTTTTACCATCATACCTACTGCCTTAACAGTACTTTGTCTGTGAATGCGATTGAATTCTAGCAATTGTCATGTTGGAGATTTTATCTTTGTTTAACCAATTGGTCGGTTTTCTGTTATTTTGTTTTCAAAGGGTTTTTCTTTGAATTCATCTTCCAGTAGGCATACTATGTGAATGCCATCATATGATTTTATTTCAAAGCTTCCTTATTATTTCTAACTTTCATCAGAACTCACTATCGCAAACTGGACGCCGACTACTACCTCAGCTCGATGGTACTGGTGATGATGATGACGGTCCAAATTATGGGTCTGATCCCATTCGTCGATGTTCGTATAAAACTCGGTCGTCATCCTCACTGTCATCATCTAATAGTTTATCACATAGAACTGCTGCTTCTGGACGTAGTAAATCACATTTCCCTAGCAATCGTCTTGCTAAGAATGAATTGTTATGTAAAGCGAACAAAAAGACTCGTACCACCAACAAATCTGTATCTCCAAAACCTGAAGGAAAACGACGTTGGATTGAAGATCGTATCAGGCAACAGGAGTTAGCTCACTTAGTGTTAAAGGCTAAACAGGCCAGTCATGCTCGTCTCTACCAGAATGAGGTTGAAAAGCATGTGAGTTTTTTAAAATTTATTTTCAAAGCATATTGACTCATATTATTTCTAAGCAAAGTTAATAGTAGAATACTAATCACTTAGTAGTGATTTTTGGATTATTTTACAACATGATCATGTGAAACAGTCTGTCTCATCTTTTAAAAATCATGAATTTCGACACTTAGTAATTCCCTTTTTCGTATTGTTTCTCTGTTGTCACTTATGAATCATCTCTGATATGATTGGTTTGAAGGCATTTCGTAATTATTTTTTCTTTGATTCTAACCGCATTGCGTATATTTCTTTATGGTGGTTTAAGAACCAAGTATAAATCTTAGACATATTCCCAGTTAAAAGAAACCTTCATGTGAATATCCAAATAAATAGATCAACGTAGAACCTAACATTGAAATTCACTGGTTGAGGTTACTACAATTCTCAACATTACGTTGAGAAAAGTTTTCTACAAAACGAATGACATAAAAAAACAAGAGAAAATGCACAAGAGATAAAATGAATAGATGAAAAATAGTGCGAGTATTCACAAATTTAAAGATGGTACAAAGAGTTTATATCTGCAATATTTAAAACAATTTTGAGTTATATCATCAATATACACTTTCTCTATTGTTGCTATTGTTATGAATAAGTTTGGGAACCGTTAGGGTGAATTTTATGCATGAAACAGAACATGTAGATAGACATCAACTACACTAAAGAGACATCATAAAAGTAGCGATTAAAACGGTTTATCAAAGGTGTTTACAATGACTACCGTGTCTTTTGTATGAGAAATAACACTGCTTGTACGCAAACCACAAAACTTGTTGATCATAAGGTGTAACCAACATTAACCAAGCATCTGAACTTGGCAACATCTGGAAGCAGTTCTAGCTCGATGGGACCTGTAGCAGCAGCAGTCTATTGTCAATGAGACAGCATCGTACCCAATAACTGTCGAAGGCGTATTGATGGCTTAGGTGAGCATTGTGAAAGGTCATGTAGTTGTTTTATTGCAGTGATAATCTCGATCTCGGTAGATTATGCCGTTGTGTTCGGTTACCAGCTGCACATCCAATCATGCGGACGTATCAAGTTTGTGAATGATATCATCTCGCTATTTGGGGACATACAGAAACGAATCAAAACTCACTCAGTAACCATATTTACGTTTGTGCGGTAGGCAATTAACTACACTAACCAGCTGCACAGACCCTAGTAGATGAGGCGGAGACCGAATCTGTGACCCATCGGTTGAAGGTCAAGAGCGTAGAATAATGAACCACTGCCCGACGGTAGCATACAAACTATTCAACAGACACTTAATCAGCAAGCAATCAGTGTCCTTTTTTGTAGTAGTTGTTTCATACCATCTGAGTGCCAATTGCTTTCAAGAGGTTGAATATATGCCTGTCTACATTCAGTATTTACGGTGGATATTTAGGTGCATTCAGTAGCTCTGTGTACAGGTAGTTGTTATTGATGTGATTTCCGACCAGAGTGCTATACTTCAATCTAGGTCACATTAGACATAGTCACAACTTGGATTTGATTGCTAAAGATTGAGTGTACCATACCTCTTTATGAGAATTGTGCTTGTCTATGAGACCTAACCTTCTCAAGCAGAGATGTTGTTTGACGATCCTTTAGTTTCAGAATTTTTCACGTTTATTAGATGGGCTTCACGATTATGAATTTGAGTAATTTCAAAACGAGAAGAAACAGTTGTCATTAATTTTGATATTTCTTCAGTTTATATCACTTACTCTTGAGAGTGTTTTGAATTAGTTCTTATTCTTTGTTTATTGGGATTCCTATGGGATTGGAAAAGTTAGCTATTCCCAACTATTTCACAATGTTATTGTGTAGTTATATCAGTTTTCTTTTACTACTAAGGAGTCGTTGACCCATTACACTTATTTTACTGTATTGTCTTGATGTCTTTTAAATAGGTAAGATCATTTCGTCTTACTTTTTCAATCGATGGCGTAGTGCGTTCTACTAGTAGTCCGATTGCTGCTTGGCGTTCAGTAATAATGCGTGTTTCGTCTCTACGCGAAAAGCACGGTTTGAAACCATTAATTTGTACAGGTTTGTTGTATTTTAAAAAAATCGATATGCATTTGAGTCATGCCATTCATTTGATATTTTCAAACTTTTTAGTGAAAACAAAAATATCTTACAAATGTGGATTCTATTCAGCCGTAAATCACCCTTATGATAAATCAAGCATATAGATTTGATAAAATTGTGAGAAACTTCATTAGTTAATATTGTTGGGAGTATGGTGGGGTAATACCTGAATACCGTGATATTTACTGCATTTTGAAGTGAGGCTTAGGGACGATGAAAATGTATTCTGATCAATATGTGGCACAAACCCATGTAGTGACTGACTTTATACTAAGGTGTATGAGAAATTATGGGGTTTTCAAACGGCAGATAATTGGGGTTCAATTACTTTAGTTTTTATTCAATGTGAATGCGCCAGTTTGATATTCTGTTATACTGGCTTGTACATAGTACTAGTCAAGCACTTGATTACCATTTCCAAGTGGTGAAATAATTTACTGTGTTGACTCTCACTAATTATCATTAACACCTGGGTTGTATCACATTGTTTTTTGTTTGTCTATTAGCTGAGATATCTTTTGTAACTTCAATTTTGTTGACCTAAACTCTAATCACGTTAATTCACAAGAATATGCCGTCAGACTAAGAAGTATACGCAGAAAGAAGATATGATTGCATCAAGTAACTTACAGCAATGCAAAAAAGGGCGGCCAGCTTAAATTTTGGGCTATCAAAAAAACTTTCCACCTATTGTATTTCACCAAGTTCTTCCCTTTTAGTCTGTTTTAATTAATCTTTTAAACGCATCATGTTTTCTGGTACATTTTCAAAATGTTTTCAAACTTTTGTTTCACAAGCTAAGAAAAAAACAAAGGAGAAACGTTCTGCCGGTTGGGAATGGATTTGTAAATGCTCAGAAGTACACCACATTACTGTTCCTAGGATACCTGTAGGGATTGTGAGTTTTTGTGCTGGCTGACTGAAGCGCCACCATCAAAATTACAATCGAGTTTGTGTTAATTTCGAAAAATCGAGAACAGACGCCAACTTAACGCTTGCTGCCCGTTTCACACTTATGCCTTCAATACTGTTATTATTAACACTATGCAAACGTAATAAATATTTCTTTTAAAAATGTTGTGCGGAAAGCGAATTTGTTGAAATATTCCTTGCTGAAAGTTCCATACTGTATCATACATGTTTAAAATAAAGCGACTATTATTTAGACATTAAATTATGTATGTCACAATTGACATGGATACACCATGGACAGATAAGGGATTATACTAACTACTCAGTGAATGTAATTTAGTAATGAAAATCAACAGGAGAACATCCCATGGATGACAAGTTGATATTGCTTTGCGAGAATGAAAGCCATTTTTAAATGATAACTTTCTTTTTGTCTCAATTTTAGTGTATTTTACCAATCTCTTTTCTTTTCTTAAAGCTATTGATGGATGGTCACAGTTCGGTCTTAATCATCGTTACCTGATATTCTTGATTGAACAAATGCGTGGAGCATTTCACTGTTATCGGTATAGATTTCAATATCACTGGCAAAAAATCGATCGATTACGTCAAAAGGTAACTATTTTCTATCCTATCTTTAGTATTTTTTAAGTCATCTGAACAATCGAGTTTTATTTATGTATGAATAGTCAGATTGAATTTTTTTTTTTCATCAGCGTATGCGTTGCGGGCATTCATAATGGTATAGAGTCTGTGGTAAAGTAGCTGTTGCTGTAGTGTACGAATGTATGTCAAAGATGCCAATACTGGTAGATAAATAGGTTTTCTGTTGTGAAATGAATTGGAATTAGAAATGAAAGTGTAGTTTTTGAATGTTTATGTCAGTGGTTTGGGATGAACTTCTTTAAAAACCGGTAATATTTTAAGATCAATGGATAGGACAGCAGATTGTATCGTTAATTTTATTGAAAATAGGTAGGTAGATAAATTGGGATGCTTCATTCCTTATTATGTTTTTACATCTACTGTTCTTATTTCAATACAGCAGAGGTTCAGTCGTGTAGCGTTTATTCATTCAAGGAGGTTTGAATCAGTTTCACTAAATCAGTTGGATTTGGGGTTTTCACACTGATCTTAATAGTTTTAATCCTAAGGTAATACCTAATACCGATTCAATGTGTATATGGATATACAAATGGAGTCTTTTTCATTATTCATGTAGTGAATCGTAAGATAATTCATTGTGGTTACTAAACACAGCCGATATTCACCGATGCAAAATTGACTGTATATTTATCTACGAAACTGTTTATTCTTTTTGTACATTTATTATTTAGGGAATTCAAGTAATCCAGCATCAGTACTGTTTTTAAAGATATTGAGAAGTATTCGATCAACAGCATTTTTGTGGGTTTAGATACTTTCATCATTCTGATAAACGTTTCCTTAGTTATGTGAATGTATGTTTACTTTATTCTGCTTCTGGATGCCTTTTCAGTTTACTCCTCCAGTACCATGTTCTGAAGGCTGTGCACGAGCTGTCCCATGGGAGAAACCCCGTCTGCCACGTAATCATGCTCGTGATTCTCTTGCTTTCCTCCGCTGCAAAGCCAATCCACCTCCGCGACCCTTGGTTAGTTCAAGCGAAGGTAATGTACTTCCTTACCAAGACCCTTGTTTGGTTAATACAAATGAGCCAACTAAATTATTATCTCCTAATGAACAAGCCACTTGTCGAGAAGCTGCTCGCCAGGCTGCCATGTTAGTAGCAACTCAGTTGAAGCTTCCACAGCGTCTGCGTTTAGCGTGTGTAGCTAAGGCTGTTTTACGTGCGACTGGTATACCAATGCAATTGACTCCTCAGAAGTCAGTTACTCGTGATGAGCCCTCTAATTCTACTGATCAAGTGTTTGGATTAACTTATTCAGATGATGAAGACAGCTCAGATTTGTCGAACTATGAGGTTGATGATGAGAAGGAGGGGGATGAAGATGATTTCGGAACAGTAAGTTAGTAATATGGTGTACTATATTGGTAATCTGTAGATTGTATTTCAAGAGACTTAGTGTTTTGTATTGTATCATTGATGTCTATTACTACTCTGTACCACGTTTTGTGTTTAGAGTACTACCTAAGTGTAGAGGAAACTCATATTTTTTTTTAGCTAACTCGCTTGATCATTAAATGATAATTTTACGAACAATAAATATTATTCAATTATGTCTTTTATGCATCCACTTGATTTTAATTATACTAAATATACGAACACTTTAAAAGCGAGTTGATGGAAGTATGATAAACCATTTATGATATAAGTCTACTCTATTAATCACTAAAGACAGATAACCGACTAATAAGTTCTTCGTGGTCCTCATTTTCCTTATGGTTTATTTTCTGCGATGACGCCGTATACAGATGGTAGCTATTTGTAGAAGGATAGTTCATTGGTTACACTACAGTTTCTAAAAGATTATGAATGCCATGTAGAACACACTTGTTGTTGCGTTTGTAATAACTTCCAAATTTCCATATATTTAAAAAAGAGTAAACTTTACCTTATATTTTTCCATCTTAGATGTAATGCTTGTCTTTCTTAACTAACTAATCCTTCTTATTCAATGATTTTTATGCTCTAGGTTGCAAACCAGTTTGGTAGATTACTTTCTGGACCATTGGCTCGTTTTTATCGTGTATCTGTTCATCCATCTCGTATACATGGTCGTGGTTTATTTGCTCTAAGAGAATTTCGTGAACATGAAATGGTTATCGAATATACTGGAGAATTAATTCGAAGTGTTGTTTGCGATGCTCGAGAGTTAAAATATCGTGCAACTGATGTTGATTGTTATATGTTTAGAATAGATCCAGACTGGGTTATTGATGCTACCTATGCTGGAAATGCTGCTAGATTTATTAATCATTCATGTGATGTACGTGTACTTTTTTTGTGTGTTTAGCATCATTTCATGATAGTAAACTTTAATAATTCTGTTATAAATGTAATAAAGGAGATATGGTCTTATGTAAGAGATAAACTTTCATTTCTCCAGATGACTTGTATATTTTAGAAGATAAATTCAATTAATGGGGATCGGTAAACAACTGAATGATATATTCACAGATGTTATTTAGCATTACTTTACACATCTATTTAAGAAAATATTTACACAAACTCATTTTTATAAAGTTTGACAACCGGATGTATAGATGCATTATCATAGATTGTATTAGAGCTGATGTAATGCCTGCGTTACCGAACCGAAAGAAATGGTCGTCTTTAAGTGAGCGCTTCCTAAACCTCTGATTTGAAGTTTGATTCACAAGGCTACGGAATAGAACAACATTAGATGGTGCATTCTTCACAGTTAACTTTGGCTAAAATAGGCTCGTATGCCATTTGTCCTTTTCGGATCCTGAGGTACAATGTGCACCACTGATTTGTGATCAAGGTATTCTAACTCCGTTAAATGAACCCTCTATATCCATCATTTTGTATGATAAGCACCGGACATTATATTTCACTGTTCATCCTTAACCAGGGTGATTTTGAATAGGAGCAGGTTTTTATTCGGAAATGTCCTTAAGAAGCAGGAAATACTCGACTAGTTCAAAAACTTCCCAACACTATTCATTTACCCGTTTTTTTTGCAATCGAACAAACAACTTCCAATTTATGTGGTTAACCCGTTAATGTTAAATTAGTTTTTTTTGTAACGCCTACATGTGCTATTTGTTCCGATTAGTTAGTTAGTGAGCTTATTTCAGCATTGTATACAGTATTTTCATGCGTTGTATAAGTAATGCTATTCATGAAGCAAATATAGAGTTTACCGTCGATGTCCCAATAATTGTTTTTGTGAGTGCTAAGTTAGCTAATCTTATTGTCTCACTTTGTATAAAATGTATGTGGATAATGTCAATAAAAATTGCAAATTTCCATTCTCACAGTTCATGATATGGCTGAAAATCGGCCACAATAGCAGAGATGTATTCACTCCTTGACTTCGTCTAAAGCTTGAATATTTCTACTAACCTTTATCTTCAAACTGTTTATTCTCACACAAATTTGTCACTTTTTTTATTTTTTATCCAACTGTTCTTTGTGTACTACTGTAAAGTGTGGCAACTTGAACAAATTCACTTGTTTGCGAGGTTCTACGTTGGTTTTATTTGTCGCTATCTGGTTCTCATGTTTACATGTTAGAGTTGCAATCGTTCATCAAAGACGCTCTCACAAATAGGGAAGGAAATATTGATGCAAGAAAATGGAAACGGAGCACATCATAGGTTGATGTAAAATATTCTCACGAATTGGTCTTCGGACGGTAAAGGATGTAGAGTTCTGATCGAAGTTTATGGTTAAAGTTTGATATGTAGCCAGTCAGTTGTGTGACACTATATTGCACACTGGTTTCGTGCTTGTCGGCGTTTGTCAACAAGGAGTATCAGCAGTATTCAGGAAATTCACCTTCCCTTTGAAGATATGAACATGCATCAGTTAGTGATAAAGTTAACTATTTAATCACCAAGTTATTTACATCAGTCAGTTATTTTGTAACATTATAGGCTCCATTTTCATAACTTTATTCTCTCCTGAGTGATGCCACTTACGATTCCAAAAACTTTGTTTTTTAAGTCGTCTTTTTGCATACTTATCACCTTAATAATGCTCATCAATGCTAGCCAGTGTGTAGAAACTTATTCGTTAATTCAATGGTCTGACATTCACCATTTCAATAGATGACCTTTACTAGAACTCTAGATACCTGATGGTCACAGTTTATGTCTGTTGGTTTGATGATTAATGAACTGTAGTCTCAAATTTACTCATTGAGGAGAAGCGACTTAGTTTTTGTTAACTGGGTTGTAAGCTGTTCTCACGATACTCTATTATGTTGAGGTTATTAGGCATAGTGATGATCACATTGCAAAGTTGATTGATGGGATCGGATTGGTGATGAGTGCTTAGAAGTAAGCAGTATGATATAAGTTGCATCTATCAGTCATTCATCATTAGCGGGTTTTTATGCTGTTTTATTTCATTTCATCATTCATATACATTTGATATGTAATATAATGAAATATACTGCTTTAATTTCAGTTTCTTCTATTCACTCGATCCTTTTTCTTATAGCCTAACTGTTACGCCAAAGTTGTATCAATCGATGAAAAGAAGCATATTGTAATCTTAGCTCAACGAAGGTGTGTTGGAAAAAGAGCTGTAGATGGATTTATTTTTTCTGTTCCCATTTTTAGTTGTTTTCGGTTTGTTATCTGTTTAGCATGTTACTGTGATGCTGATCAGGGGTGAGCCTAAAAGTTATCCCCAGGTGTTATAGCGCTTACCACAGTTTGTAGCATTTTTTTTCGTGAAAATGCACTTATTTTCTGTGTTTTATATGCATATTTTACCTACTTGTGTAGTTTTACAATGTCGTCTATACTTGAATCGTCCCATATATTCATGTACAAAGTATTGACTGCATTTCCACTTCTTAGGAGGAAAGTAAGTACAGGGTGAATGATACTCACAAATCATTGTAAATACTTTGAAGCTTCAAATTTCAGGAAAAGGATTTGTTATTGCGGTTTTCATTCAATAATACATACATGCATACAAAACACAGAACATATTGTCGCACAAAACACTTGAACACCTGGGGATAACTTTTAGACTCACCCCTCAGAGACTAATAGTGATTGAATGATTGTAGGTGAAACTTATTGTTTAGCCTGATGACACTGATAAGTTTTGTGTTAATTTTACTTATTGTTTAAAGATTATGATGATCTACATAACCCTATAATATGTTGTGTGTGTGTGTGTGTGTACGCGTGTCGTTGTCACCTCTTGTATATATATATATATATATATATATATATATATATATATATATATATATATATATATATATATATCCCCACAAAGATTGAATTTTATGTTGATTTCTGTTTTGTCCTTCCTTGTCTCTCACACAGAATCTATCCTGGTGAAGAATTAACATATGATTATCGTTTTCCAAAGGAATCTGAGAAATTACCGTGCAATTGTGGAAGTTATACTTGTAGAAAGTATTTGAATTAGAGAATTTAGTGTTACCTCTCTAATGCATCTTACTTTCTCTTCTTCTATTCATTTTATACTATTTACTGAATTTTCAAAAGCTTTTTGTACGTTGAATAATAAAGTCGCGACAACACTCGATGACCGAATGAATTTGTTTATTTTAAGCTCTTTTTGTCCTCACTGTACAAAAAAGATTAAACTTTCCTTTTTATAATTTATTGTTTTTATCAATCATCAAATACACACAAACACAGTTTGTGTAACTACAGAACAGCAACCCAAAAATAAAGTGGCCAGACACATCTGTGAACAGAATCTTGGATTTTGTTGCATTTTTGCTTTATTTCTACTATGATTACTGTTATTATCATCGTCGTCATCATACCTATTATTATTCCTTACTATTTTTTACAGTATCAAGTATATGTTTTTTTTAATTTCTAGCAATTATTTAATAATCAGTCAACCTTGGTGATGGTTGTTGTATTTGTATTGCATTGCCTGTCGTTTGATTTATGTTGAGGCGGTCAGATTCTTGAGCATTGACACATAACATTGTCATTGTTTCTGCACATTACTGCTATTACCATATATATATACTTTATCCTTTCAAATATCTCCACTTATATTTGTAAAATATGTGTATAAGTTTTTAAATTATCTCCCTTTTCCTGCTTCCCATTGTCCTTTCCTACTTTTTATTCCGATCTAATATACGTTTTTATTCCTGCTGTAGAGAATGAATTTATTTGTCTGGTTGTCATCCTCTACGTTTGTATATGCTTACGACATCATACCTTAAACAGATCTACTTGATGAGTGACGTTTAATTATATTAATCTTAACATTTTTATGTGATTGCTAAATAAATAAACAAGTGAATAAATATATATGTAAAGTAAATGATATTTCTCGCATTGTACTTGTTGAGAGGTTGGTTGTAGAATCCACACAAATATGCTGTTTCATATTTACGAATAATTGGGTACTTACTTGTTTCTTCCTATTATTTATATTGTGTGTACAGATATGCTTTCGTGAACACGTAAACAATAAACTTTGAATTCCATTTTGCTTCTTATTCGATTCTTCAATAAGCTGATCAAGCATAGAAAGATTCACTGCAAGATTAATTCAATACATAAAATACTGTTCGTAGGTCGTCTTGGCGTCTTGAGAGTGTTCTAGAAAGTCGTGGACATCGAATATCTTAGTAACTTATGTGGTCAGGCATTTACACATTTGACCTCTTGATTTTCTAGAAACTTCCGAGTAGATTTGGTCGCTGTGAGCGTTGTCAGGGTTTTAAAGAAAGATTTTGAGGAATCCTAGGGGGGGGGGATATTTTCCGTATATGATAATAATGTCTTTAAACATCTGTATGTTCTTACAATCCATACTACATTTTTATCAGTAGTGATGATATTCTGAATAAAGGCTATTAGTTTCGAAGCATTTACAGTACTATACGACGAATGAAATAATGATTCTATTATTTACCGTAAGCGAATTGACTGATAATGAATCGATCATATTTTTATGTGCAAACACAGGCCATCTCAGGTTCATCTGATCTCATCACTTATTTGTTTCTATACGTAGTTGAATATGGCTTGGAGCACACATTTATATTAGATGATAATTATTTTATATTTCCTTATCAAATGACTATTCCGCGTCAGTGATCGTTGTTTTGCTTTCTTATAAAGTTTCAACAGATAAGCCAAATCTACTGTGTTTTCATTATGACTAAGTACCGACCTTGTTGTTACAATATCCATTATGAGGCAAACGTCAGTTGGTGCAACCCGAGCAAGGCTAAAAGTTATCCTCAAGTTTAATAGCGTTCTGTGTAAAAATACGTATTTTCCGTGTTTTGTAAACACATACTTTGAAGTGGAAAATGTAATTATAAATCCTTTTTGCTTCAATTTGAAGGCTCGATTAACTTACTTAGATTTGTAAGCATCATTTCTCATAAATAAATGTACTTCCGTACCAAAAATTGTTGGTTAGATTACATCTTTAGTGAGTTTACCGGAGTAGATTATGCTAGGTTTGTCATATAAAAAGTGTTAAACGGTAGGATGTCTCTAATGTAAGAGTATAAAGTAAAGACATGCATATTCATTGAACTAAAAGTTATTATTTTCCATTGTGAAATCGCATCACAATTCCTCGTACACTTTTATTGTATGCCTAGTTCCAGCTGTTTTGTTAAGCAAATGAGGAAATTTCTGTGAAACTCAAGTTTCCATTTTAAACTTTTACTATGATTAGATGCAACCTCGCCTAGTTTACTAGTTACTAGACGGTCCTAAGCCACGATAAAGAGGGAAGGTTGGGCATAGGGCAAGCAACCAGACCCCGTTAAACCAATACAACCGCTAAAGAAACTTAAAAGCACCGACGAAATATAAAAAATAAAAATAAATTTATCCCTCTCTGCAATCACGGAAACGAAATGACCGCGGTTGGTGAAAGCCTGCTTTCGGAAGCCAATTTTCCCATGTGTCTTCTCTCGATGAAAGCAAAAGTAAACATGAAGACATAGAATATCCTCACGAAGTTTGAAGATGGCTGGCAAGGCTTCCCAGATTACAAAAGAGATGAGAAGGTATAGATAGCATAGAAGTGCTAGGCTGGAAATCTGTGAGCAATCGACAGATGAAATGGAAGTGGACTCTCCAAACTGTCAACTGGAGAGGAGTCAATAATCTAATCCACTCCGATTTTGTCACACAGATGACAACCACGAGCACAACACACTGAGTTTTCGAGTGGCTATCATGATGTCCCCCTGCCAACAGCATTCAAGACTCTCTCTCTCTCTGATGCAGTGGAAACCAATCTCCTCCAACAACATCAGGATCATGACAGCGAGATTCAACTCGAAAGGAAGGAAAGTCACAATCACACAAGGCTACGCTATGCACCCACAAATAATCCAGATGAAGGAAGAGGAGAAGGAGGAATTCTACAAACAACTGCAATCACTACTGAAGAAGACTGTAGTTGGAGACATCAAAATTCATTCTGTGTTGGGTGGGGTGAAATGAATGCCAAACTCGGAGCAGACAACACAGGAAGAGAACCAATCATGGGTCGAGAAACACTTGGTGAAGTGAGAAATGAGAATGGAGAATTGTTTGCAGATTTCTGCGCACTCAACTATTTGGTGATTGGAGGTGGTGTGTACAAGCACACACACACACAAGGATATTCACCAGGCCTGTACATGGATTTAACATCGATTTCACCAGATACCAGGACACACTACACTGAAAATCAGATCGACTTCATTTCAATGTGAAGAAAGTGGAGATGGAGATGCAGCCTACTGAACAGAAGATCAGATGAAGAAGGGAGCAGATATAGGTTCACACCACTCACACCACACACCACTAACTAGTACAAGGAAACTACTTTCAAAATCAAGTTGAAAGCCTTCAATTCAAAGAAGCTGGTGATAGACCACAGTTCAAGTTGGACAGCCAGAAGAGAAACTGAAGGATGAAACTACAAAGGACATCTTCATGTTAGCCAGTCATCAGGACAAAATGGGAGACATTAAGCAACATCCCCGAAGAGACAGACCTGCATGTAAGAACACTGAAACTCTTTGAAAGATATGTGGTAAGAAACCTGCATAGTCGTGTTAGGAAAGTAGGAGACAAAGACAAGACAAGGAGTGGATCTAGAAGGACACATGGAGGGAGGTTGATAGGGGAGGGAGAGGAAGATGATGATGGTGATGGTGATGATGAAGCAGAAGATGAAGATGAACCAGTGCAGTGCTGGGCAAGGATGAACAAGGCGAAGAAGAACTGAACACAACCTATAAAACAGTGGACAAAAAAGTGAAGAAGAGTGCACGGAAAGATAAAAGACACTTCTATGACACATTGGCAAGTGAAGCAGAACAGGCTGCAGGTAGGAGAGATAGAGATCTGACAACACTATATCAAATAACCAGGATACTTATTATCTGGGAAGAGAGCAACTCAGATGAAACCAATGAAAGATAGTGAAGGAGACCTAGTTAGCAAAGAGGAAAAACAAAGGAAACGATCAGCTGACCACTTTAAAAAACTCTTGAATCAACCGCCGCCACCACCACCTGCAACTAGTCCAGAAATACTACCAGCAGCCTAGCCACAAAACTATCAGTGAACACAAGCCCTCTGACAAAGGCAGGAGTGAAGTTCTGAACGCCATAAAGTTGATGAAATTCGGGAAAGCAACAGGAACAAATGGTGGGATTCCTCTAGATGCCCTGAAAGCTAACTCAGAGACAACAGCTGACATGCTCACACCACACCACTATTGCAGAAGGTTTGGAAGGAAGGAAAGATACCTACCCAGTGATTGATTGGAAGAAGGGCTACCTTGTCAAACTCCAAAACAAGGGAGAACTAAGTGTTTTCAGGAACTGGAGAAGGATCATGCTCCTGTCACTGTCAACCCCAAGCAAACAAAATATTATGCCACATCATCCTCGGCCGAGACTAAAAATGCACTGGATTCAAAATTACCACTGGAACAGTCTTGCCGGCTGACTGGCTGTCTTCAGGAAAAACAAATCATGTGCGGATCTGATTGCAACGCAATGCTACGCATCACCAAAGAACAGAGTATAGAATGGCTGTCAACTCTCTACCTCAACTTCATCAACTTTGAAAAGGCCTTGGACAGCGTCGACCGAGAAGTAATTTGGCAGGCAGTTGCTTCAACACTACAGTTTTAGTTCCACAAACCTTTGTCAACCTCATTCAACAACTATATGCCATTGTATATGATGCTACATGCCAAGTGATTGACAACACAATGGAAATCTCAGTGATGCCTCTGAAGTGAAGTGAAGACAGGTGGGGGGTTAAGACAAGGTTGCCTCCTGCTATCACCGATGATCTTCGTGATTGTGGTCAACTGGACTGGATCATGCAGCAAACCGTGAGGAGTGAGAAGAGGGGCGTATGCTGGCTGGGTGTCGATGAAAAGATCCTAGAAGAAGATTTGGATTACGCCATCGATGATGATTTAATAATGTCTAATATCATCTTGTCGCACAAACTCGAAGATCTACAGGCAAAACCAATAAGTTGACAGAAAGGCAGGGCAGTGAAGACGGGAATTCCTTCAAGTGAATGTAGAGAAGATAGAGGTGATGAAGATACCCAACCAACAACAACAACAACAGCAACAACAAGCATCCATCACGATGAGTGGGAGAAATCCAAAGGAAGTGGTCTCTTTCACCTACCTAGGCAGCATCGTTTCAACTACAGGTAGTGGAACAGACGAGGATGTCAAAGCAGCCAGCGTCGAAAAGACAGTAAGATAGGCCTTCCTGCATTAATGTGAAATCAGTGTGGAAATCTACTGCACTGTACTGCACTCAGCAATAAAGCGTGAACAAGATCCGGATTTTCAACACTAACGTCAGTCAAGTCAGTGCTTCCATATTGGTTCAGAAACTTGGCGTGTCACGAAAAGCATTTCCAGCAAACTACAGACATTCATCAACAGATGTCTACGCTCACTCGATACTCAAGATCAGATGAGATGGCCAGAATAATACGAAGAGGCAACAAGGAACTCAGTCTGGCTGACAACAAACCAACCAAGAACTTATCGCTCAACAAATATGCAGAAGAAAGTGAAGATGGATTGGATTGGACATACACTGAGAAAATCATTCGGAGACATCACACGCCAGGCTCTCGAGTGGAACCCAGATGGGAAACGACGAGTTTGGCGTCCGAGGTGAGGGTGACATGGAGATGGCGTGAGGAAGAAATGAAAGCTTGTGGGCAGTCTTTGAGCTGGGTCTAAAAGACTGTAGAGGAGAGTGTGGAATGGCGACGTACTACTGAAGCCGTATATTGCACTAGGAACCCAAGGGACGAATATTATTGATTAGATGCACAGTGAGGCATTAGTTGAACTGTGTGAGGGAGGCATGGGTGTTCGTAACTCCTGGAGAAAACCTGTTGCCTATAAAATCCGGAATTTCTATCTTAAGTACTATAGTTATATATGTTTCTGCTAATATTTCCATTCTGCCAATTAGTCTGACATACACATTTATTTGAGTACTATTGGAGATTATAGCTTCATATTAGTTGTGTAGCAATCAAGTTGCATGTATAAAGTCGACCATTCGGTCATAAGTATGATCTTCTAGAGCTACTTTTCCCATCACATTCAAGACCTGTAGTACTGACATAGCTCAGTTAAAAAAACATCTTCAACTCTAGCGCCATTCAGTTGTATCTCGGGTTTCTTAATAGCTGCATAGTTGTCTAACAGGTAAGTCTTCAAAAGCAGTTTAACGTTTTAGTGCTAATCCGCTTCAAATTATAAGCTGATTAGTTAGGTAGACAAGCATCTCATATATGTTTTTCGAGTGTTTCATATACACTTTCAAGCATTGGACTATTAACTACAGATGCAGTTTGGCATAATGTAAAAATTTTCCAGTGTAGGCTGACAAATAAATATGCTCCAACAGGATTTCGAATACTTTACTGATTTGTATGGCCTAATTAAAACACGTAGATTGTCTGGGGAATGTGGTGTATTAAAGCTATACATTCCGAACAATATGATCACAGGTTTACTCGTCAAGGCATTGTATATTGAGGACGAAAATAGGGTGGGGTAAGATAAATAAATTAAAATTAAAAATAATGTAAAATATGAGGATATTAAGGGGGAACAATATATTTTCATACGCCCCTTGGCACCAAGGTGAGATAGGGATTACCAAGGTGTGTTTTAAGTAAGGATAAATTGCTTCTGAACACATAAGGGGGTTTTGAACTTCCGTGTAGCTATGGCTTCAATGAACCTAAGTATACGTTGATCTAAAGGCTGTTTCGTGGTCAATCCTTTGACCTGTTTCTATAACGTGTTTACTTATAGAGAATGACATCCATCTGGCCCTGTATTTATTGAATTATTTGAATGTAGTTTTTTTAGACATTCAGGAATATATTCCACCATCGTCGAATTCATAGTTCGATTATTCCTCCCAATGTGTACATCACCATACATACGTGTAAATTAGTGTGCACGGCGGGACGGTACGCAATCGTCTATGTGGTGCTGAGGTTTACTTTGAAGCCGCATAGTATATCTTCTTGGTAACTGAGATAAGCCTAGTCTTAAGATCATACTGTTTGATTTTCCCTTATATGGTAACTTGATGTAAACATTCGTCCTCAGGACAGAATATTGATTAGTTCGCACGTTGAGACACTTTTATAGCGATTGATGAACTTCAGAGGATAAGCGTTTTTCATGATTATATCTGTTAAGAATTCGATTCCGTCTTCCAATGTATCTGTTGTGTAGATACATAGAGTCCTTTTGAATAAGCATTTTACGAAACCTCGTCTGTACTGCATTGATCAACTAGTGTATAGAAAACTTGTGTGAATTAAACTTTCATGGTTTCTGACCAATACAGTTTGTGATTGATAATATTTTCGAGTTTAACTTTGTGTACTTTCACATCATGTACGTATAAACTTTATTTTATGTTATTGCTGAGTTATAATTCGTTTGATGAGATATCGGAGTCAAGTTAGAAAATTACACTAAATGTACTGGGAAAAATTGGCTTGCTGATTCTAAGTATCATTTGAATGGAAGAAATTTGTAGTGAATCGACAAAGAATAAAATAACCTCTTAAACATTGAACCAAAATTATAAGACAAGAATTACAAAATTAACTTTAACAAAGTCCTGAGTTCATTTCATTCCATTTTATTTTTCATGAATATTATTTTGTGTACAAAAATGTAATGAAAAAGATATTCCTATAATAAATATATGTCACGTACATATCTACATATCAATCGGTCTATAATACATAGATTACTGATAAATTATACAATCCTTCACTACTAATTCAACTTATTAGTAGTTTAATCTTCATTATCATTATCCGCCATTGCTCGATGAACTAATCGTCTTAAGATGGATGGCCAAATTTTCATGAGATAATTTTGTCGAGATAACTTCTCATCAAGTTGTTGCATGCTATTGTCAATATTTTCTGGCTGCAATGTTAAATTGAAGAGAGATTGTTTCGTTATGTCTACCCCTTTTTTATATAGCAATATAAAAATTGTGAAATCTCATTCGTTTTTAGAAATTTTGTGAATATGATAATGGTTTTCATTACGAACTGAGATTGCTAATTTTGGGCACTTTTGTAATGTAAACAGTGTTTAGTATCATCACCATCATCAACATAGGACCAGGCATTACCGCGTAACGGTCCGAGTTGCCACAGCTCATATCACTACATCAAGTAAAAAGGCAGTGAGGTGAAAGATGAAGATGAGAAAATTCAGTCAAAAGAAATGTAAAGTACGAAAAGAGAGAAGGGAATAATGAGAAAGTGGTGAGATTCGGTATAGTGTTAAGATGAGGATAATGTATGTATGCACCACTGACATTGGTTCTGAGCTATATCCACTGGAGTCTTCAGCCACTGGTTCTTCTAGTCCCGTGGACTCCACCAGCTAGTCTGCATCACCCCACATGGCTCAAACCAACAGTCAAAGACTTCATACGTTGATGTCATGTTTTGAGTCTGGCCGCCTCGAGCCTTTCCCCAGCCTGAACCTACTTCGGCCAACATTGTGTGATGAGGTAATCGGCGACTAGGCATACGTAACACATGTCCCAACCATCTTAGTCGATGAAGGTTCACAACCGCGTCAACTGTTTTACCTCTTCTCCCTAAAACTCTACATCTGACTTCTGCATTACTCACATGGTGACACCACGGAATACGTCCTATACTACGAAGGCAACGGTGGTCAAACACCTGAAGCCTTCTTATGTCTTCCACCTTTAATGGTTATGTTTCACAGCCATACAGTAGAACAGACCGGACTGCAGTGGAGTACATGCATCCCTTAATAGACAAACGGATATCACAGCGGCGCTGTAGGATGCGTAAGTTGGCAAAAGCTAGCCGAGCCTTTTGTATTCGAGCAAACATTTCGTCGGCCACTGAACCACCAGGGCTACAATGTTTAGTAGTTACTTGACTGCTCTTAGTTCTCATTTGCTAATTGGTTAGAGGAGTTTAACAAAAAGCCATGCACATCTGCAACCTTAAGGGAACTGGTTTTCCCATAGAGATCCAAAATCAAATCAACTAGTACTGCAGCCAAATAAAATGCTGCTGATCAATTCGAGTGGAAGTTAAACTATTATAGGACTGGATGGTATAATACATTGATTAGTCAACTGGATGATAATTATGTTTTCTTCAGTAATGAACATCTTAAACTAATTTGCTGATCACTTCATGACATGCAGTTACTGAAACCTAATTTACGACTAGTTAGCACCAAGTTTCTAATACTTCTTAGTGGACAGAAGACGTGAATTCGAGGTATTACACCATTCAGGTCACCATTTTAGTCACCGATTCCCAATGTTAAGTAATCAACTCTCTAAGTTTCGGAGAAGGGCTGTTTTAGAAAATTAATAGAATCAACAGGTTCAATTGTAGCAGGAGACAAGGGTGCATGCAATCAAAGACTGATGTTTAGCTTTCAAACATGTCAATCTTTTCATTATTTTCTTCACTCACCTTTTTTTAGTACAAACTATCTTCGAATGAATCACTTTTCCAAAAAACCACATCATTTGGAACTTATAATTGTACACTTATCAAATAAACCCCACTTTCATTTGAATTTTATACAGTTTTAATTGTCTATATTGATTGGTCATTAAAGAATAACCAGTTTTATGTTGTCTAGTCGTAAGTACTGATAATTTTCTGTCCATCAACTTACAGTATAGTCATCAAACTAGGAGACTTTGCGTCACGGTTTACTTTGATTGGTGCTAGGTGGTTGGAGGCAAACGGCAGGGAAGCTCTGTCTGACATCAGTGACATAAGGAAACTGGTGTCACAGGTTTGTACTCACATATAAGGTGTTTGAATGAAGCATTGGGTAATATCGTATATCATTTTCCTCGAAGGTGCGGGTTGACTGTGTTTAAAAGGGCCAACAAGCATAAAGCATTGGTTCAGAGTATCCTTCTAGTTGCCTTCAATCATCTTACATTTTTAATAGTCTTTCGAATTAAGTGAAGGTGGAATAGCGCATTTGTGATGCCAGTCTGACCACGGAAACTTAGTCAAACATTCTATCATTCAAAACATTGGGTTTACTGGTTTCAAGTATCATTGCGTGATCATTGAATCAGTTAGAAAGCTGAGAAAAAACTCTTCGATATTAGCATACTATGATACAATATAGGTTAGATTTTGTCTACTTTTCTACCGAAAAATCAATCTACAGGATATAGAAAAAAGTCACCGTAGACTTCATCATTTAGATTATGACAATATGAAAGAGCACAGAATGAAAACTTATGGAAGCGTGAAGGTATCGAAATGAACTATAAAGAATTCTTGAATGAACAGGCAACAAGTAGGTTTAAAGCTATGGGATATTGAAGAGTTAGAAGGAGATGGAGGGTGAATTTATGGTAATAAGAGCTATAGCTACATATCTGCTTTTTGTTATAGATAATGTTCAAAGTTTTGAAAGATGGTTTGAGATTACTAATGGAGATAGCTGAAGATTTTAGGACTTGAAACCCAGGATTTGTGTGAGCCAAAGGTGTATCCACAACTTACCTTCTCCCAAACCTTCTGATTCATAGAATAAACTATTGGAAAGCAGAAACATTTGCATAACGGGGAATTCAAAAAATCCTTTGTTTATCCTCCAGTGTCTAATCAATAAATCTTTAAGAACTGTCTGTATTGGGGCTCATAGAGTAAATTAAAGTGACAGAGGATGTTAGCTATGCTATGTTTCTATGTAAGTGAAATCATAAAATGTAAACCACTTATCCTCAAGTCAGTCCCTCAGTTTTAAGGTCCTCGTTGTTTGGCAACTCTAAGTCTTTCGAGATTATTGCAGAATCCATGCTATATTTATATGTTGTCAGAAAAGTAGACAGCATGTAAGCACCGAAATGTTGGTTGTATCGAGATAAGGTTAGAAAAAAAATATGGGAGTCGACAAGCCAAGATATCTATCTGTGAATTTCTAAACTGTTGATCAGAACCACGTAAAGTAGTATCAGGTTTTTGATTTGTGTAGGCTATGTGGTACGGAATGGAGCAGAGATGAAGAGATGTTTACGACCTCACTTAAATTTTGAAGATTGTTTCATCATATATAATTGTACCATATATATATATATGGTACAATCATAGAATCTTGCCGTGAGTGAGGAACTACCGAAGGAACTTGAATTCACCATTCAAGTTACTAGGTGACTATTTGGTCGTTATGGAACAATTTGAATCACTAAAAGGATTTCGCTGATTATAGATAGATAATGATGATAATTTCGATTGAATCAAAGGGAATTATTTCTCATATTATTGCCTCTCACTATTTTCGAATTCTGAAAGATTTTTCATATGATTGCATGTCATATAAAGGATGGAATTATCGACAAGAAGTTCCCACTTCAGTATGCTAGTATTAAGTTACACATCCCGAAACCTAGTTACAACACTTACTTGAACTCTCTAAACCCTACTATTTAAGTAAATAATCAGTACCCATTAAGTCATAAAACAGTAAATCATCAGCCAGTGGGACCTCTTTTCTTGAGGTGGTTTATGACTGACAATACATGATTGTTATTTCCACTACACTGAGTCATCATTTGCTAATCACCTTGTCTCGTCATAGTAAAGTTTTGCGAACAGGATCGTTCCACAGTCATCCCGTATCCTGGATATTCGTCTTTCTAACAATCTACAATTACTGAAATAAGGTAATATCGGACTGTAAATGGAACAATACCAGAATCTTGTGATGAAAAGAAAGTATTTTCGTCTTTACTTGTTTTAATACTTCAGATAAATCGTGGATTATATTATTTTTATTTTCTTCAGCTTCATTCATTGAATTTTCATTTGTTTTGAATTGTAATGATAGATTATTTAGTGAATCTGCTAGGGAGTCTTCATTCTTCATATGGTCATAGTCTATCCATTTATTTGAAGACGCTAAATTCTGCTGTGTTAACGAATTAAGATTGTTAGCGTTTGATTTATTAGTCATTGCTGTTGTTATAGCAACGTTGATATTGTTCAATGTGCATGTGTTATGATTCTCATTTATCCCTGTTGTGTTCAGAACTGAAGTTGTTGTATTCAACATAATTGATTCTCTTGGTATGTATGTATCATTCAATGAAATATTATCCATATTTATTGTATTGTTTTCACTTTTTAGCTTATTTTTTAATTTTCGATGAATAATTTGATTTTTTGTCATATAATGTGGATTTCGCATTTGTAGTCTATCATAAAATGAACTGAATAGCTTTTCTGATTCATTTGTTTCATTCCATTCAATCTGTATTGAGTGACAAAAATAGAATGATTATAGTAGACTTATGCAATTTACTTTTTTGTGAAACTAAATAATATTGAATAATGCTAACATTTATAAAGGAAGTAGTATAATTTGAATGATTTTAAAAGCTGACACAGATTGTACACAAATTATTATCATTCTTGTTCCTCAACAACTAACACATAGGAGACGTACTCAGCATTGTCTCACAAAAAGAAAACATAATGTAAAGCAAACATTTCTTCATTCAATGGTTTGTTTAATGTTAGAGTAATTGTTTTGATAAAGGCTGGTAAAATATTGGTTGTCACATCAACCTTATTTAATTTTATGACGTGTTTTTTAATATAAGTAACCACCGTATTATTTCCTTTATTTTATAATTGAATCGTTTGAAGCTGACTAGATCGATAAAAGTAAATAGGAATGATAACTGACTTAGAAACAGGAGACCTGGGTCTCGGTAAGACTTGATACACAGGATTTCAGGTTAAAAACCAAAAATATAATGATTTATATGAATTTAAAACTTAGTAGGAAGCATGGTCAGATAGATAAGTCAGTAAAGCTTTGCCTTCGTATCCTATCATGAGTCTAAGCTTTCTTTAACTTAATTGACGATATATATATATATATATATATATATATATATATATATCCTTGTATAGTAACAGTCAGATATCAGAGGTAGATATGAATAGAAGTTATAGCTTCGACAGTAGGAGGAAATATACAATACATATCATGTTTTAATATGTGAATCATCCTGATACCTTTTAAAGGTGATGTTCTATTTCACTCATAACAACTCAAACAGATGTCTACATTAATACAAGAACTCTTTCCTGAACTAATTTGAGTGCTTAAATGTCACCGGATTGTGAAATAAACTACTCCACTTGCTTAGCTGATTCAAGACACATACTTGACTATAAGACTAATAGTTTTAATGTTTAATTACTAAACTGATTTGATACCTGTTTTGTTATATATTAGATAGTGGATACCTGTTGAATCTATGGCATACATCTCATTCTATCAAGGACTCATCAACTGGGATGTACGAGCATCCCTGTTGGTGTTCCCACTGAGACCCAACACTTATTACCTATGAATACTAAATCTCTACCCTCTTGACCGCTGAGTTATAACAGCTGCATCTTTTTCTACGGGTATCAGTATGCAATAGTAATTTGTATTTTCTCTTTTTTAATTTATACAGTCAAATTAATTAGTCTATATTGGCATGGAAAATGCTTATACGGGCGTTTCCATACATCTTTTTTATCAATATAGGTGTTCACAGTTCAACAGTTCACTTGGTATCTGTATTATGGTAAATAATTTTTTGAAAACGTGCATCCAATGGTAAATTTACTTACAAGTTCCCCATCTAAAAAGGATAACTTTAATATATCACCAAGGCTCCAGATAATAAATGGACGCCATAGGCGACCTGCTTGTTCAACAATCGGATTACCATCAGAACCATGAATACGCAGTGCATTTAATTGCCCAAATTCCATAAGATCAAGAATTTGATGTAAATACTTTAGTCCATTACTCTCCAAATTCAATTCCTACATTTCAACAATAAAAAACATGAATAAAGATAATTTCCCGTAGACATTCATCGATTTGCTTATTAAAATATCCTCCTTCATGATGCAAATTTGAACTCAGAATACAGTGACTAAATTATATCATGCAGGCTACAAGAACTCGTGGCCATAGGTTCATCACCCATGAGGTCATATATGTATACTGTTGAGGGTCCTCGATTAAGAACGAAACATGTATTTATTACTCCCATGTTTATAATGAATATGTAACTAACGTCAGTCTGTTACAAAACCTACTTCGTAACCAATCAGTTCGTGCAAACAACCAGGTGAGTCATAGTAAAGTAGTTAGAGGGTTGTTGTGGACGTTTACTGTTTGACACTCTGTAGATAAGATTAAATTCATTGGTATTCATCAATGTAAGCGGTCTAAGTAGCTCAGTGGGAGAATCTGTTGTTCTAACATTGAGTAACATATTTTCGAATCGCTGATAAATCATTGGGTTCGATGGTAAAACTCCCAACGGATGCTTATCGAAAACCGCAAAACTCAGATCTAATGATTACTACTGACTATCTTCAAAATATAAGAAAATCAAATAGATTGCACAATGATATCGAAGCATCTAACTTGGTAGTCACAGTAATAACTATAACTAGTAGAATGATTTCGACATTAAAAACTGACATTGATTACTCTACCCGAACTCATTGGTATGTACATTTTAATGATCTCCGTACATTCTCGATTATTCGAATGAATAGTCGTCCCCTATTGCTAACTTCCTCGATTTTTATGTAAACAAACAATGGAAGGTATCTATAATAAACCTTTTTTCTTGGTTGTCATAGTACCTGCTTGTTAAATATCAGAAACAAGCATTTCAAAGCACTATAGGCTTGTTACATAACTCTGTGTAGACTGTGCTTAGACGTCTAATAGCGTACCGTTTGTTTTAAACCACAGACAGATGGACAGACAAAATCAACTTGGAATCTCACACATAAGTGCATCGGCTCAAGTTGCTACACTTCACAGTAGTAGTATACAAAGAACAGATGAATAGAATAAGAGTGATATCAAAGTAGACAAAGTAGTGTGAGAGAATAAACAATTTGAAGATAAAGGTCAGCACAAATATTCAAGCTTTGGAAGATATCAAGGAGTGAACAACGAATTGGTGTACACTAAGGCCTTTAAAACTGTGAAAACGTTTCTTTCCTTTTTTGAAACTTTTTAAAGCTTTCAAAATTCTTTCTCGGTTGACAATTGAATTATACGGTTCACAAACTTTGTCTTTACTATACTAAGTAACGTTCTAACCGTATTCTTTTTCTTACAAAATTGAAATAAAGTCTACTCATCAAAAATGCTATTCCGTTTATGTTAAATTCTTGTATATATGTTTAACTTATTATAGAAGAATCATTTCTTTTAACAGCAGTATCATCTGGGTATTTGAAAGTAACATTTTATGAATACTCTGTAAACTAGATATTAAAATAACATTAGTTGAATGACTACTGAAACGCTCAAGTTTCTAGTTTATTCTTCCAGACAATTAAGATGATGAACTCTTTACTCAACTATATGCACATAATTAAAGCTGTTAGTTTCCTCTTCAATGTTGATAGACAGCTCGTTGAGATGATAGTTAGCTTTACAGAAAATGGAGTATTTTTAGTATATGAATAAAATCTGTGCATACAGAAAGGAACACTGATTACATTTAATTAACTATAATAATAATTTGAATATAGCACAACTTTATATATTAATGATGGGTAGTGGCCAGCAATGGAATCCAGGAAGCACTTGTCGTCCTATTTGGGATTCGTCAACCGGATGTACAAGCAACAACACTAATGGCATAACTTTGCAAATAATTATTTTCTGAGTCATTTCACTTCCCTTTAGTCTCTTTTGTACTACATCAAATTAATTTATCTTTGTTTTTGTTAAAGACTGGCGTATAACTTCATATAGATAAAACTATCATCTAAGCACTTTGACTAGAACTAATCAATTCATTAAGCTCTACATTTTCTCTACTAATTAATTCCATTTTATCTCACTCTTAATCTAAGATGCTAAGTAACATAATTAAACATTGTATATTGTTACTATTTATTGAAATACTTGTTATTCTCCGTTGTTTTGTTGGATCGAATTGTTCGACCTCTATTGGCAGATAGGCTCCTATGACGATACCTCGATATTGCCTGAATGTTAATTATGGTAAATTATGATAATTAACATTCAGGCAATATCGAGGTATCCGCATAGGAGCCCATCTGCCAATAGAGGTCGAACAATTCGATCCAACAAAACAACGGAGAATAACAAGTATTTCAATAAATAGTAATGACTACTAGCCGTTGTACAAGAAGTGACTATCGTTCCTCCATGGCATAGTGGATAACGCCTTGGCATGTGAAACGATGGGTACGGGGTTCGAGTCCCAGTGGGAACAACATCACTGGGGTGCAGGTACATCCGGCTGACGAGTCCCAAATAGGAGGAAACGCGCGTCCTGGGTTCTTATGCTAGCGACAACCAATTTATCATTGTATATTGTGTTAATAATGATGGGGTTAGGTACTGAAGAGTGTTCTCCATCTTACCTTTACTTTTTCTGTGTCAAAAAACGTTCTACGCTAAATGGCTCTCAGTTGCGGTTAGTAGGAGGTGGCAGTAATCCAGAAACCTAGTGACTGTGGTTTTTGTTACTTACCAGAAGGGGATATCTGTAACATTTATGTAAATGGGGTTTAATCAGTCGGCTCAACACCTCAAACGTTACAATCAAAAGCGTCAAAAATGCACTTATTTATCCCCTTTTAAAGACCTAAGGTCAAATATATGACTATTGTGTTTTCTATATGCACAGCATGTAGTCAGTCCTGGAATTCTAAGTGATCAACTATTCTTTGCATGTGAGCATTAAATAGAGAGGTGAATCAAAAGTGATGTCATATCTGCAGATGTCAGAAACTGAATGAAGTTTGAAGACTGTTTCCTATGGGTAAATTATTCCTATCAATAAATTACTCCATCATTTCTAAAGATTATGCTTATTAATAAACTGTGTAGATCGTCAGTGAAAAACATTTTAGTACTGTGTAAAATGGGGACAGTGAACAATACACTAATTGAATGAGGTTTCTTATGAGAAATTACCGACCACTTCACTTAATTAAGAAGTTGCACCAGCCCGAAACGGGCAGTGAAATCTCAGCCCGTTTGACATTTGCCATCTTGCCTCATCTTTGGGACCGACTGGTGAGATGTCTGATTTTTTGTCAACAAACGAGTATCCTTTCTGTAGTCGGTTCTGTCTTGTTATACGACTGTGAGACATAGCGGTTAAAAGTAGAAGACATGAATTATTTACATCATCTTGATCGCAGGTGTCTTCGACGCATTGCTTACGCTTGGTGGAATCACTGTGTGAGCAATGTTGAAGGCAGGAGAAGGGTATTAGGGAAGACAAGTAAGTTAATCGATGAGGTTGTGAACCCTAGTCGATTGAGATGGCTTGGACATATACTGGTCACGCCAAGCCACTGCCTATCTCGATGTATCATGCCAGGGGAATTTGGATTACTTTGAGAGAGGATTCAGGATGAACAGACGAAGACCTGGCACCAGTCAAAGAAGTCTCTAACTGTAGATATGAGCCATGTGCGAAGATTTAGACTACCTGGTTAAGGTCTCTGAGACGCCAGGAATCAGTGGTTGAGGACTCTTAGTGACATGGCTGAAAATCGGTAACGATGGCGCAGATTTTTTCACTTCTTGATGTCTTCTGAAGCTTTGGTATTTGCACTAACCATTATCTTCAAATTGCATATTCTCTTGCACCATTTCGTGTGCTTTAATGTCACTTTTCCTAGCCACCTGTTCTTTGTATGGTGCTATAAAGTGTAGCAACTTCAGCGGACGCACTTGTGTGCTAGATTTTACGTTGATTTTTTTTTCGTGAGTAGAATATTCACATGTTAAACCATTCAGATTAAATCAATATTTACAAGTCCTTACTTAGTACTCTCTTGATCCTGCTACATCCAAACGGGAGAAATACGGAAGTTATTTAAACCACTTACCATTGTCTAAGTCATTACATAACGTAAAATATCTTCATGTTAATTATAACTAGTATCTTTATAACCCTGTCATTCGATAGTAGGAACGTGTAGATTCATTGGATATTTACACTTCATCAGTGGCAACAATGGCTTTATGTTAATCGATGCGTAGATTATGTTTTGAGTTATAAGATCAAACGAAGTAACATATTACTGAACCTAAGAAGCCTCGTTTAAAACTGACAACACGAGAGTAGATGAACAAGTTCATCATGTTTCTCTTGGTACTGAATATTGTACCATGGTTTAGTTTTCCAAATTTATTTACTTGTAGTAAGTCCAACTAATTCACTATTGTCACCTTCTGCATTGTTTCAGTTAGTTAAATAGTATGCGAACAAAGCAGATTTACAAATGACTTGTTTACCAACCTAAACAATGTTTACTGAATTAATCATCGACCTGATTGTCATAAGAAAATCATAGATTGACGATTGATAGCACGAGTATTTGAATGAAACTATCATGGGAGTAAATATTCATTAATGTGAATCACTTTAGGCCTATGAAATGCCTCACGTAAGTGGATCCAATTTATCTGCATTTAAAATAATTATTGTAATTCTTATGCGTGTGCGAGGAAATTTATTGAGATGACATCGTGTTATCTATACACCGAGCTATGTAACTGAACTCTGCAATTTAGGTCACAACTTAACACATCATGATGAAACGGTGATTTTCTTGGAGTATAATTGTATAGATATTAAAAAACCTAACTGTTAACTACCTGGTTCAAGTGTACATTCCAACAATATCACAATCTTAGACCACTAATGAAATAAACTGGTCATTTATAAATAAAAATGTGACCAATGTAAAGTAAATATTATGTAACCTTGAGATAAAAAACAGCCAATCAAGGGTGATATGAAGGTAAGTAGACAGCCAATGAAGTTTTACGAATAAGTGTTAAGGTGTAGTTTAACCTATCCTAATAAACAGGTTCACTTAACAACAGACTCTCATTTGGACTACAGACTCATTTGCATAGCTGAATAGTGGCTTTAAAAAAATACTTGTCCAAATAACATGAATGCAATAAAGATTGTCAACTACTCTCCTTCTTTCTGCATTCAGTATATGTTGATCAGTGAATCATATCAAAGTTTGCACAAATTACCTTTAAATCCGGTAATAATTTATGAATGGTCGGTATACACTTTGCAAATATATTCCAGTTCACATGTCGGATAGTTAACTTATGTATTTGATTGAAACTTGAAAGTTTCATTGGATGATTCATATTATCTCCTGATATACTACTCATAAAATTATTATTTAGTTCTAAATTTTGCAAATCACTAATCAGTTGAAAAAAGTCATCGTAAACATTTTCTTGGTTAGATGTTTTATTTTTACTGATGTTGTGATTAACTTCAAAATTATTGCTATCTACACCATTCACATTGTCAGCATGATTTTTATAAGTATTGGTATTCCATGACAATGTTGCTGCTACTGTCGACTTTCTGGCCACCTTTTTTGAAAGGCAACCTTCGATGATTAGATGACTCAATTCATCAAAATGATAAGTAAATTTCAGTAATGAATTATTTGTTAACTGATTTGAAAGGAATAAGAAACTTTCATTAGTTAGTGTTCCAATTGATTTACTACAAATCATTCCATTGTTTTCACTATTATCATCAGGAGTGTTGTCTGAGTTTTCCATCATGCCTCCTTCATCTTCACTTTCTTTGTATATTGTTGATGTTGAAGATGTAGGTTGAGGTGTTGAGAATTGTGATATATCTGATTTATTTTCGTTTAGAGTTTCTTCAGTAAGATACACCCGGTTACTTCCATTTTGATAATTTTCTAAATACGGTAATGAACCGTTGTGATTGGATAGTTTTGTTGTTAATTCTTCAAGATTTTTGGTAAACGTCGTTCTTGCACTGAAATAAAAAAGCAAGCAGAAATAAATGTAATCCTCTTTGGACATACTGATTAGTGTAAAAGTAAGATACTAGAAGTCAGTTGAGAGGAAGCTTTGTTCTCAGTGGAATTCGAGCCTGATGGCTTTCATCAGCCTGAGAAAAGTGGTGTTTTCTTGGTAATTAGAATTTGTGTCACTCAGTCTTAAAACCAAAGACTTTAATACTAAGCCTTTTTAATTACACATGAATTTTAGGCTAGATTATGCACAAGAATTAGCAGGGATAAAGCGACGTAGTTGCCAAGTTATGAGTGTTCATTACTCAAAACGGCAATGGATCAAGTCCTAATTGTGACCAATACGCTAGGTGGTATGAAACTGGTTCACTTGACCTAGATGTTAGTTATTACAATGTGGGTTTGATCCATAGACTTCAGTTACTCCCGATGACTTAGAAATTAATTCGAACATCACTTACCAACTAGTGACCAATTTCTATACACACTGATAAATTATTTTGATTAGTATATTTAAGCAGTCAGAACAATAATACAGGCGGGTTGGTCACTGACAGAAAGCGATCTAAATCGAAATCAGCAATCTGAGCCATCAGCTGCTAAGGTAGAAGTTTTGGATTTCAACTTTGTTTCATGTTACTATGTGGAGAGGGAAACCTTATTGGACAAATAAAGATGCCTTCCTTACAGTCATATGCCAGTCTTTGTTTGCTGATCTTCGCGGCTCAGCGAAGTACCAGGTCTGAAGGAGGACAGTCGCTGTTCGTATCCAGTCCAAGTATCTCTTCGTGTTAGTATGGTTCTCGTATTTCATATTATTTTGTCAGTCACTTCCACTCGGTCACTTCAGTCACCATTGCTGAGTGGGTAACTGACTGATAATAATAGATGGCATATAACATATTTGTTGTATGATTGATTAAAGCAAAGCACCGTATTCTTAAGTTATATTTTGACTAGTAGGGAAGCATTTGTTTAGTTGTCAGGCTGACGTACGAACTCATTCTTTGTGACAAATGTTTTGCCAAGGTACAATGTCTTATAGCTTTCCCATTGCCAATATAAACAGAAATCATTGCACACAAGTAGATTTGAATCCTCAAATAAAAATGTAGTTATTCGTCATCTTGAATTAAGGTGCCCTTTCACATTGTTCTACAATTCTCCACCAGTATGAACTAGTATTTCTTTTTCAGGCTTGTTTGCTGTCTTAATATGAGTAGGGCTGGCATTATGAATTAAAGTTATTAATGCTAACAGTATCCAGTGGTTATTAGTTCATACCTCTCAGATCTTCCAATTTTTAGTATGACTCCTTGGGAATATAGATCATCCGGCGCTAAAGTAAAAGTGATTATCCTTCATAAAACTAGAGTGAATACGCTGACCAGCCATCAGACAGCAATCAGTGTTATGTTTAATCATTGGTGTTACCTGAATTATACCGATCGAGGATTCTATAAATGTATGAGTCAGCAATCGGTATGAGGTAGCATCACTGATTTAAATGTAAAGATATCCTATCTTGATCTCCATAATCAAAGATATATAGTGTATGTTCATGGTCTGATATCTGATAACTCCAAATATCGAATATCAATTAAAGTACATCGTAATGTTCATGCACATAACTTGGTGACTGTATTCCAAACTTTACTGACAAAATTCTGTTATCGATGCATATTTTTCACTATCGTCTTTGATACTAGGCAAAGTTTATTAATTTTACTTAATCCGTCTTCAGAGTCAGAAATACCTATAACACTATTAGAATGTGTAAAGGCTATAAGAATGCTCATTCTCATACTGAAACAGAAGCTTATGTGAGTTTCTCATCCTCATCTACCTCAATGAGAAGATTAATAAGCCTTTAGAGATATTAAAAATCTAATATGTAAGGTTAGCTATTTTTTTACGAATTTATTTGAAAATTCCCATTACAATTCAAAAGCTATTTGAATGAACAAAGAATTTCTCTCCGATAACTTCTTTTTCAGATTCTACAGTTATGTATACATATTGAGGAATTACGCTTCAACAATATAGAGGTTCGGCTTATCACTTTGTTAATAAAGTTAGACAGTTGAGGAAATCACTTCAGAAAAGTCTTATGTCAAAGTAATTGGTTATTTAAATGATTATACGGATTATTTAACACCATAAGGTGATAGTTTAATAAAACAGTAGGAAGGTGTGTATGAAAGCTGGATGCAATAAACAAAGAAAGTTAATTTAAGAAATAATAGCTTGATTTAATTTCACTCATGTTAGGGAAAAAAACACGTTAAAGGAATGTAGTGAAACTATTTCAGATTATAGGGATGAAGGAAAATCTACAGTATGGTATTAGAAAATTAGATTGCCTGGGGTAGGATGCTAAGGAATTTGTGAGTCCTGAATCGAGTGATGTTACTACTAGACGCAATACTATCTTCTTTTGAACACACAACTCAGGTTATTTGATCCTGACTGCTACTTTTTCTGCAGTTTAAAGGATCCTGACCCGGATACCTTTTAGCAAGTTGATGGGAACCCGTTAGCGGATGAAAAACGACTCATTTATATCCACTTTATGATTCGTTTTAACTAGGTGTGTTAATATGAGGCTAGTGGTGGTCGTTACCACACCTTTATTTATCCATGCTAGAAGATGTTTGAAAGCGTGGACAATTAAATTCTTAGAGCAGTGGCTGACGTATTTGGCTCTACAGGAGCAGTCAAATTGATAAGCACAGGGGTAAGTGGCTAGTCTAGGCACTTCATCTTTCAGTTTCGGTGTCACCATCGGAAGTGTGGAAAACGTAGCGTTCAATTTACCAGCACTAAAAGTTCTCTCAATTGATCTACATAATTTTTGAATTTATATCTCGCTAGGCACGTCACCTCTAAATTGTACCGGAATGCATAGTTGTTTTCTGTTAGCCTTTGGAATGTCCTTTCTTGCCATTTTTGTAATCAAATGTTTCAATTGGTGTGTTGCGTGAAGTCATCAGTTCTTCCTGCATTGTATCATCCAAAAATACAGCCTTTATCCCGTAACTTAGAGTCTGTATCAAGTTTTGTTTGTTCGCAAACAAATCACTCTTTATCAGGTCTACCTATCCGATCATCTTGGGAGGAGAATATTAAGAAAAGCTATTTTGCCTTCTGACTCTTCCTCATATGTAAATGTCATCGCTTAGTGTGCTGCATTAAATCTATTGAGTATCGTTGACCTTTCCATGTTGTTTTCATACAAAGTAAACGTATCATCCATATGTCGATCGCAAAATGGAAATTTTCTCATAGATCATTCAAACAAGCCATTCTCTGTTTTCGATTTAAAATAGCCTGCTAAAATGGGACCCAGTGGTGAGCCCTTAGCTACACCACCTACATGTCTGTATAGTTTACCGTTAAATTTAAAGTTAACACTGACCATGCATTTGAGTAATCGTTCTTTCAGGACGTCTAGTGGGATTCCAACATGGATAGATTTTTCTTGCAAGACTGATGAATAGAGATGCTACGTCCGGTGACATCGTAGTTTTATTGATGTTGTTAGCATCCTCAATTCTTTTTGTAAACTCAAATACATCTTTCACTATATGTTTTACTAGACGTTGTGCAAAGGCTGAAGAACGGTGACCAGCCACTTGGCTGCAACGTAGTAGGGAGAATTTTGCATATTAACGACCGATCTTAACCGTACTTCTGGTTTGTGTATCTTAGGCAGCCTATCCAGTTTTGTTAAGTGAGAACCCGTGGGTTTCAGTGCATCATACATGCTTGATGAGATTATATGTTGCTGTTCTAATTTATTCAGAGATTTAGTGAATTCTTTTTTCATTTTATCGTTCATATCTTTTTGCATGTTCAATTTCTAGAATTTCTTCTTATCATTCGGTATTTCATTCATCTTGGTTATGTAGTAGCATTTAACAAGAACTTATCAGGCTTGGTAGTTAAGAACTTTTCATCATATACAAGTTTTTAAAATAACTTTTGTGTTTCTCAATTGAAATAATTTTACAGTTATGTTTACTGCTCTTGTAACGATAGCAACAATCAACCAGAATAAATTTGAAACATTTTAGTACTGGAGTGAATGACGGTACCAGATCTGTTGTCTGAATAAATGGTTTTTTGAATTTTGTATCAGTATCTGCGTGATTGATTTGGTTTTGTGAATGATAAGGTAGTTTTATAACTATATATATTTCTTTAAAACGCACAGTTTAGGCTTGAATTTGTGGATTGTTAATGCTACGGCTTCAGAAAGGTATCGTATCTTTTAGCTTTTTGGAAAAAGGCTGCAAAATTGCCCCACCTAACTGCAAACGAAATTCTCCTTCTGAATCTCAAATTCAAAGGTGATATCACGATTAATATTCTATGTAAACATTTGTTGAAGTAGCTGAGCAAAACATTCCTTACTTTAAGTCTCCGGATCATCGTTTCGTGCTAGAGCCTAATTTGTCAATGTGCGAAGTACAATTTGATGCATTAGGCCTTATCAACGTATGCGAATAAGGTCAGCTGCTCCTCTGGAGGCAAGTGCATCAGCCGTACAATGCGTAAACCTGCAGAAAGTGCTTGCAAATACTAGTCAGCTTCGCTATGAGAATATGGACAGAAGATTATCTCTAGCTTTATAATCAAGGATTTAGTAAGTTTGTGTGATTTAAACTTTCTCGAAACCTCTTTCAAGATGCTCTAAAGAGTCTGACCTAATCATTTTAAAGCTGTGAGAAGATGACATTTGTGTGCTGTAGAAGCGCCAGAAATTCACAAATTCAAACTTATACTGTACGTTTAAAAGAAATATCTACAGCCACTTTCATTGTCATAGCCTTATGGCATTATATTTTCCAGTTCTTTCATCTGCTAACCTTCTTAAGTTTTGCAGAATTTCCTTCGTGTTGCCTAATATCCCTTCCCTTATGTTCCTTTGCCAGACTTATCCATGCCCTTCTATGGAGTTTGACTTTTGACAGTAAATACCGCTGAAAATTTTGATCCT